TTTGAGGGAATGGGGGAAGAGAATATTAAAGTAAAACTTCTTTCAGTAAGTGGATTAGGTGAAAAGGTTCTGCTTAAGCACACTACATCTGCCTACAGTTTGTAGTCAGTCTAGCAGAAAACAGGAAGCCCAAATGGATGCTAACAGCTGGTGAAGAGCTTTACTGGGGCCCTGAGCACACCACATCCTCTCTGGTAGTTTTTCAACTTGTCTGGCAACAAGAATGATTTATGCCTCACGTTGAGCTGATTACTGTGAGCCACCTACTGGCCCAGTGACAATCAGACTTCTTGCCCTTTATCTACCACAAAGGAAACCCTGAGCTGGGTAGACTCATTGGTAAACTCTACATACGTAAGAGGAAGCATCACTAAGCCTGCACAAACTCCTTTAAAAAATACAAAGGGCACACATCCCACGTCACTTAAAAGAGACAGTATCACTTGTGATTAAAACACAAAGACATCTCCAGAATAAAAAACTGTTATATTTCATAATAATGCAAAATCCATTAAAATAAGTCTAGCAGTTACAGAAAAGAAATTTCATGATCAAGTGGGATTCCAGGAATTAAGTACTGGTTTAACATAAAAAATAATGTAATTTATCATATTACAGTAATTAATTAAGGAGAAACAATTGTTTCCCTCAATAGTTAATTGATTAATTAAAAAACTGAAAAACAAAAACACACACACACACACACACACACACACAAACTGAACCCCATTTATGGCATTAGCAAGAAGAAGCCTGGAAACAGTCACCTTATTGGCAATAAAACAACAACAACAACAAACCCCTTATACCTAGATCTAAGTTTCTGAATAGCACTTGCTAATAAAAGAAACTGAGGCCACTTAGTAAAGTGGCTGAGCTGAGGGAAGGAAAATACAACACAAATGTTTCAGCTACCAGATGTTAAATTATCTGAGTCTGTGCTGAGGAACAGAGTAAAATATAGGAAGAAAGCTCTTCCTTACAGATCTAAGTCAATGTAGGAAGGATTAACAAAACCAAACCAAGCCAAGAAAGAACACTGCAATAAAAGTAAGATCAGACATGAGTGCTAAACTTAGTGAGAGCATTTTGAGGAGAAACAGTATTTGTGGAGTTTCCAAGTATCTTCTTTTATTTTATTTTATTTTATTTTTAAAGATTAGGGGCTGGGGATAGAGCTGGAGAGATGGCTCATGGTGGCTCACAGCCATCAGTAATGGGATCTGATGCCCTCTTCTGGTATGCAGGCATGCATGCAGATAGAGCACCACATACATAAAACAAATAAGTCTTTAAAAATTATTTTAAAATAATAATAAGGGATGGAGAGGACTCAGCAGCTAAGAGCACTTGATGCCCTTACAGAGGACTTGAGTTCAGTTCCCAGTACCAACATGGTGGCTTACAACCTTTTGCTACAATTTCACAGGTCTAGCACCTTCTTTTGGCCTCTTTGGGCACCAGGCATGCATACAGTACACATATATGTTGGCAAAACACTCATACACATAAAACTACATTTTAATTTATCCTGTGTGCATAAGTGCATGCATGTGTCACAAGCATATAAGCAGAGGTCAGAAGACAACGTATGAGTTGATTCTTTCCCTTTTCCGCACAGGTCTTTGGATCGATCTCAGGTCATCAGGCTTGGTGGAAGTACCTTTTCTCCAGCCCTGCTGCTTTTGGGGGACAAAGTCTTAATATGTTGTTCAGTCTTGCCACAAATTCATAAGCCACACATTTCAACCTCCCATATAGATCTCATTATACTTACAACAGGAAATACAGTTAGTATAATGCACACACACACACACACACACACACACACACACACACACACACACACACTCTCTCACACAGTCATAGGGCTAGGAGTGTACTAAATGATAGCATGCTTGCCCAGCATGCAGAAGGACCTCTGTTCCATCTCTACTGGAAGAAAAACAACACATTAATCATATCCACCTGTGAGCCTTGCAAGCTACAATAATGAACGGCCCAGCAAGACATGCCCACTGGTGTAACATGAAAACCATGGGACTAAACAACATTTTTCCACCACATGAAATCTATAAAACTGGCACCATTATGAGGGTATGTACCTATGGCTAGATAGGTCAGAAGCTATAGGAGAAAATTTACTACTAATATTCTGATAAAAGTACTGATAAAATTAAACCAATTCCTAATGGCATCATTATATCCATGGATTAAGGCACCTCTCAGTCCTCAAAAGAGAAGCTTCTGCTTGCAGTAGGTGATGATTAAAACAGACACAAAGCTGGCCAAGGTAAAGAGAATAAGAGATGACAGAATTTTCAGCCCTAAAGGGAATTATATACACCACACCCCCTCTTCCAAAAGCTCAGGATCACTGCGAAAGACAGGGCAAAAAGAGTGTAAAAGCCAGAGTTGGTTGATGATGACAAGGGAAACTTTTATGACTGTAGCAGGGTAGGCACAGATAGTTGTGACATTTGCACAAGATCTGTGTAAGACCAAATCCCAGCACAGAGAGGGGAACTGAGTGTAAAGTTCCAATCCTGAAGAGCAGCTATTGACAACTGTTAGCCAGTTTCCTCTAAGAGTGTAGCCCATGATAAACAGGCCACATTCAGGTGGAAACACACACATTAAGGATATTTGGGCTGCATAAATTGGTTTTGATGGGGGCTAAAAAAGACACAGAGTAGGGTGGGAAAGGAAGTGGAGGTATATCAAGGAAGAGCTGAGGGAAGGAGGGAAGCAGGGAGGGAGGGAGACCAGAACTCATTTGGAAAGTGTTCTGACACGGAGTAAGGCCTAAACACTCTAACTCAACATCAAGACCCTGCTCTACTCCACTCTGACTTGCCTCTGATTTTTTTGTTTTTGTTTATTTGTTTCTTTTTTTTTAATTACAAGAATGTTGAAAGGAAGACATAGAAAGTACTTTGAAACAAAACAATTGCATAGGCTAAGCTGGCCTGGAATTCACTCTGTAGCTCAGGCTGGCTTTAAACCAGTGAGGCTCCTGTCTCAACCTCCTAAATGCTGGGATACTTAAGCACATGTTACCATGCCTAGCTGACTGTCCTTTTTGAAGCAATAAATACAAAAACACTAATACAATCTAATTTTTCTTTTGTATTTCTTGAATATAGTACCTTTTGAATTACTCTGTATTTCGGAGTATATCGATATAGTTCTGGATGCAATGCAAAATTCTTTCATGGTGGTCTTTACCTAACACATAAACAATTACCAAGGCTATAAGGGTCTGTAACTACATATACTCTAGACCATATACTCTGTACCAATCTATAATATGCAACAAATAAAACAACTAGGGCTCCATAAAATGGCTCAGCATGCTGCCAAGGCTAAGGATTGAGTTTGATTATTAGAGTCCACATGGTAGAAGAGATTCCTAAAACTTGTTCCCTAACCTTCATGTGCATGCTGGCTGGGGCACATAGCCTGCAAATACAAAATAAATTTTAAAAAGTAACTTATGAAAAAGGAGCTGGAGAGATGATACATTAACTAAAATGACTGCAGTGCAAGCATGACCACCAGAGTTCAGATCACCAAAATCCATGGAAAATACCAGGCAAGGGGTAGTGGACCACCTAGAACTCAAGCTTCCGAATGAGGAGACAAAGGATCTCCAGAGCAAGGTGGCCAGAAAGACTAGCCATACTGGTCAGTGGGAAGAGGTGGAAGAGTGGAAGAGGATTAGTCCCAGCCTCAGGCCTCTGCACTCATATATACACACATTTGTGCGTATACACATAACACAAACACACAAAGATGGATAATAAAACCAAAACAATAACAATAGCAACAACAACACATACCCCAAAACAAAATCCAAAAACCAGTTCTAACACTAAAGAATCATGGCTCCTTAAAGAGAACTTAATAGGTCAAGTGGATAGTTCAGAGGTAGATCACTTGCCTAGCATGACTTCAATCCTCAACACAACATACAAGACTTGGTATCACATAGTGTGTGTACACGTACATGCATTTATTCATGTGTGCTGAGATATACTCTTATTCTGTTGCCCAGACTGGTCTTGAACTGTTGGGACAAAGCAACCATTCTGACTCACTTTCCTAAGTAGCTGGGATCGCAGACATGTACCACCACACCCTGCTCTTTTTTTTTCTTTCTATTTTATGTGTATTGGTGTTTCGCTATGTGTGCCTGGTGCCTGTGTAAGCCAGAAGAAGACATTGGATTCCCTGGGACTGGAATTACAGACAGTTGTGAGCCAGCATGGAAACTGAGCCCAGGTCCTTTGTAAGAGCAACTGGTATTAACTACTGAGCTATTTATTATTGCTTCAGTCTCTTGTGTTTTGATTTTAACAGTTTAAAGTGGTGGCCTTTACAGGGAAATAAATTCAACAGTATCTTAAGCTTATCAGACATAACCAATTAATGACAGTCAGTAGCAAATAGCAAACTAACTGTTAACATTGACCATTGTGGATACTCAAGGGTTGACAGACTGAGCTCAGAGACAACTATTCTGATCCTCAAATTCTACCACCAAATACAAACAAGGACAAAAAATCATAGCAAAAAATAGATGGCACAGGAGTAGGATGTGGGGGCTTGTTTTAAAATGCATGTATACTCCATCATTTCTGCTGAAATCTTGGGAAGCAATTTTTTTTTTCCATTTGATATATGGTCTTATTAACTTTTATAAATCTTCTTCAATAAGTAAGTGGTAAGAGACTATTCAAGCATATATTATCAGTATTTTTATTATGGGTCCCATTTACAACTTACAGTAAGGATAACAGCCGCATAGCAGTAGGCAGGCAGAGAGAAGACAGCCAAAAAGCGGAGTAAAATCCTCAAAGGGCATCTTTTAATTATGGCTGATAAGCTGCCATCCATTTTCACTACTGAACCCACTTGGAAAAGGGATGAATTCTCATCCACAAAGCCCTTACTATTAAAAAATGTCTTTACAAGCACAGTAAGCAGGTAGTACTCACTTTCGAAGGTGGTCATGTTCTTTTAAAAACAGTTCAGTTCTCCTGTTGTTTACTCCAGACCCACTTTTATATGACCTAGAATAATGTCAAGAAAAGGCAAGAACATTTAGTAGATATTGCACCATCAGGTTAAGGGACTAACCCTACTGTAACAGAAGAGACCGCAGTTTCCAATAAACAATCAGAATATAATGCATTCCAATTCCCTTAAAAAATACTATCACAGACATAAAACATAAATCTTCCTCCAGTTTAGATCTAGGGGTTTTTCTGCTTTTCACCAAACCAACCCAATCTTAAGAGGGGATCTGGTTTTTCCTTTGTGTATTGTCTTCTGCCTCATTTTCTCCAAAACTTTAGACTAATTAGCACATGGCACATGGGGCAAGAAAGCTACTGAAACCACTGTATACTTCATAGTAGTGTCAGCCACTGGCCAGCTGAAGCCCAACTGTTCCATCTCAGCAGACTTGAGGGTCCCATGTTCATTGCCAGCACAATAAAGTTAGCAAAAGTGACATTTACTTCTATTAATATTATCATTTTCCTGCTTCTTCCCACTAGTAATAAGAATCAAGAACACTTTTTCCCTTCTCTCTCTCTCTCTCTCTCTCTCTCTCTCTCTCTCTCTCTCTCTCTCTCTCTCTCTCGGCAAGATCTCCATGTAGCCCTGGCTGTCCTGGAATTCACTCTGTAGATCAGGCTGTCTTTGAACTTGCAGAGATGTGCCTACCTCTGCCTCCTGAGTGCTGAGATTAAAAGTTAGGCCATCACAACTAGCCTTTAAGAACAATTTTTAAAAATCCCTGACCTGTACCAGTGCCTACAAGAAGGACCATGTTGAAGGTGCAGAACAGAAGAGCAAGTCTGACGGACTAAGATCACTGTAAAATGCTGAAAGTCCTTAGTTTCACACAAAGCTTTGGTTTTTGTATTAAACTCCTGCCCACATGCAAATGTTTCAGAATTTCAGGGTGTTGATAGCTTCCTGAACATGTAAGTTCCAGGGCAATAGAAAGAAGCAAACAATGGGCAAATAGATGGTTATTGGTCATCATGCCATTCTTAGCGTGAGCAGGAAGGGATCATTTAAGCTGGACTAAGATTAAGGTTGGCAAGGGCTCAAGGGAAGACTGGGAAATGGCAAAGTAGATTTAGTCGATAACTGTAACAAGGCACAAAGCATAATGGAATGGAAATCAAAAACCCCAAAATTTAAATCCGGTTTTGCTACTCAATTTGCAATTAACCACAGATAGAGCCTAAATCCAATAAACATTCTATACAGTAACATGAAAGGTAACTTACTCAATATCTTTTCGTACTGATCCCATGAGATTCTCCCGTTCCCGAATTGCCATAAAGTTTGCTTTGGTTTTATGGAATTCATGTGTATAATCCTGAAATAAATCGACATCCAGTTTCAACATAAACTATTAATGTATGCTTATCCTTCTAAAGTAGTTGTGCATGGTCATCAGGTCACACACTTCAAAACACTTCAGCATTCTACCACCTGGTACTGTATCACACAGAATTACAACGAAAAATGACTTCAAATAGCCTAGGGTAAAAGAGGGGAGGGGGTTTTCTACTCAGTGGTATACTTAATAAGGCATACAGCTTATTTTTATCACACCCTTGCCCCTATCCCTACCTTCCCCTCAGTGTGGATCCAGCCCTGGTGTTTACAAATGCAAAACACATGCTCCACCACTGACCTATACCCTCAGTTCATTTCCAATTAAGTTTATAGTTTCTATCCATTTTCCTATTGTTCTTATTTATATTACTTCTGTGTATAGTAAACAAATGAGTCATTTGCTTTAGTTTCTGACATCAGATCTTCCTTAGCTCTTTACTGTTCAGAAACTATAAATTTCATCTATGCTGTATTCAGGACTTTGATTTTTTTTTTTTTCCTCTCTCCTTTCTTAGGCTTTTTCTACATTTAAATCTTTTGGGAGGGGTAGAGAGGAGGGAGAAAGAAGAAGAGAGAGGGGGAGAGAGGAAGAGAGAGAGAGATATCTATCGGTAAAGTACTATTTGATCCCAGTTAGGCTGTAAAATGCTGGGTGTTGATAGTGTACCCCTATAACCTCAGCAGTAAGAAAGCAGAGAAGGGAGGAGCCCTTGGGCTCACTGGCTGGTCATCCTAGCCAAATTGGCAGGACCCAGGTCCTAGTGAGAACCCCTCCTCAAAAACCTAACTTAATAGAGGTTGACTTCTAACACACACATGTATGCATGTACACGAGCACACATGCATGCACACACAAAACTATCTGTAAAGAATTTTTACAATTTGGGCTGGAGAAATGGCTCAGAGGTTAAGAGCACTGACTGCTCTTCCAGGGGTCCTGAGTTCAATTCCCAGAAACCACATGGTGGCTCACAACCATCTACAATGGGATCTGGTGCCCTCTTATGGTGTGGAAGTATACATGCAGGCAGAAAACTATATAAGTAATAAATAAATAAATAAACAAACAAACAAACAAACAAACAAATAAAATCTTAAAAAAAAAAAGGGAACTTTTACAACTATGTATGCATGTCTGTGTGCATGTCTGTAGGTAGAGGACAATTTGCAGGGGTTATTTCTCTCCCTCTACAATGTGGGGCCCAAGGATTGAACTTAGGTTGTCAGGCTTTGCAGCCAGTGCCTTTACCCACGAAGCCACTTGGCTGACCCCTAGAAACAAACTATCAATTATCCTAGTTTTTAAACAGAGCTTACCATCTGGTAGAATTAAACATTCATCTTCATTTTCAGAACTGTACTAAGCTTTATCCTTTGTTATTCTTATGTGATTCTAAACAGACTTTGGTATAATCTTGCCATTCTAAAATAAGTAAGGAAAGTCAGGCTTGGCTAGTGCATACCTGTAATCCCAGAACTTGGGAGGTGGAACAAGAGATCACAAACTCAAGGACAGTTTGTGGTAAAGGAAATTCTGTCTCAAAATAAAATTAATTAACAAAGGAGGAAAGAAAGGAAGGAGGGAGGGAGGGAAAGAGGGAGACAGGCAGGAAGGAAGAAAAGAAAATAAAGAGCTTGGTATGGGCACACACTTGTAAAGTATTTGGAGGCTGAGGCAGGAGGATGGAAGTCAGGGGCAATTCTGGATTACAAAGTCAGAGCATAAACTCTACCCTTTTTCCTTTATATATATGTGTATGTACGGTTTCATTTGCCCCACAAGAGGGCTTTGAACTACTGATCCTCTTGTCTCCACCTCCCAAGTACTGGAATTACCGGTGTGCATCATCACACCTGGCTTTGAATGTGGGTGTTGTCATTTTCTGGTACTGGTGACTGAATTAGGGCCTCATTTGTACTATCACTGTGCTGCTCCTGACCACAAGCCCCGTTCATTATATTTTCTAGTAGGACCTCGTTTATATAGAGGATAATGGCTTGCTTTATATATACCATCTTACTGAATTTGTTTCTAGCATTTTCATTTAACTTTTGTGGTGTATCAGAAATACATGATCTTATGACACATATTAGGAATTTTGCCTCTTCTTTTCAAATATTTATATTTCTGGCTCTGCTGTTGTTTTTATTAACTGCACCAACGAGAAACTCCAAAGCAGCATCAGACATTTATGGTGGTTATAAGTACCCTTTTCTTGTTTTGGTCTTTTTCTTTTCTTTTTCATTTCCAGTCAGGGTCTAACTTAATCTACTCTAGCCTTGAACTTCTGATTCTTTTGCTTCTTCCTTCTTCCTTCTAAGTGCTGAGATTATAGACCTGTACCAGCACATCCAGTTCTATGTAGAGCTGAGAATTGAACTCAGGGCAAACACTCGGTCACCTAAGCTGTATCCCCAACTCCCGTTTTCTTTAATGAAAATGTTTTCAGGGTTTTACCACTGGCCATAATCCTAGCGCTCAAACTGAAATTCACTTTTTTTGCATTGGGCAAATTATTTTTAGTTCTTCTTTGTGTATGTGGGAGCATGTGTGGTGGTTTGAAAGAAAATGCCCCTAAAGGAAGCAGTACTATTAGGAGGTGTGGCCTTGTTGGAGGAAGTGTTACTGTGGAAGCAGGATGTGAGGTCTCATGCATGTTCAAGCCACACCCAGTGAGACAGTTCACTTCCTGTTGCCTCTGCAGGATGTACAACTCTCGGCTACCTCTCCAGCACCATGTCTGCTTGCACTTCACCATGTCCCACCATGATGATAATGGACTGAGCCTCTGAACTGTAAGCCACAACAATTAAGTGTTTTCCTCTATGAGAGATGCTGTGGTCATGGTGTATCTTCATAGCAATAGAAACCCTAACTAATACAGCACAGGTGCATATTCACACTTCTGGAGACTGAACTTGGGGCCTTGTACATGCTAATCACAAACTGAATTATAATTCTATTCCTTTTTGTTGTTTTCCCTCAAGACAGGGTCTCATTATGTAGCTCTGGCTAGCCCTGAATTCACTACACAGACCGGGCTGACTTCCAACTTGTGGCAATCCACCTGCCTCTGCCTCCCACGTGCTGAGGTTATAGCTATGTGCCACCATACTCAGATTCCTTTTTGTGAACCAGCACGATGGCTTAGCAGGGAAGGGCATTGCTGCCAATCCTAACAATGTGAGTTCAATCCCAAGCGTTCACATGATGGAAAACTAGAACTAGCTCCTGTGAATTGTCCTCTGACCTTCACACATGTACCATGACTCCTGCACTGTGACACATGCACACGTGCATGTGTGTACACACATATACAAATATAAATATAAAAAAGAAAAGTTTCAAACAGATTCTTTTCTTGTGTGTGTGTGTGTGTGTGTGTGTGTGTGTGTGTGTGTGTGTGTGTGTGTGTATGCACATGTGTGTTTCCTATACATGTATGCAGAGGCCAGAAATGAATGTGGATATCTTCTTCTGTTCTCCATGTGCTTTTTGAGACAGGGTCTCTCAATGAATCTAAAGCTTGCTATGTTGGCTAGGATAGCTGGCCAGCATGTTCTTTGGATCATCTGGGTCCATCTCCTACAATGTTGGTGTTACAGGTACACATGGTCCTGGCTTGTATATGGGTTCTAAGGATGTGAATTCAGATCCTCTTGTTTTTATAGCAAGCATTCTGACCAATCAGCCATATTACCACTGCCACCACCACTTCAGACATGGTCTCACTCTGCAGTCTTAGCTGACCTGGAACTTATTATGCAAACCAGGTTGGTTGTCTTTGAACTCACTGAAAATTACCTTCTTCTGACTCCTGAGTGCTAGGATTTAAAGGTGTGTACTAATCTTTAAAGAGTTCCTAAATGGGCTGGAGAGTTAAGAGCCCTGGCTGCTCTTCCAGAGGACCTGGATTCAATTCCCAGTACCTACAGGACAGCTCATAACTGCCTGTAACTCCAGTTCCAGAGAATCTGCCACCCTCACAGACATACATACAGGTAAAATACAAATGCACATGAAATAAATAAATTTAAAAAGAGTTCTTAAAATTACCTGTAGAATGTCCCTATGTCGCTGCAACGTGTGCATGAGGGCTGCATTCAATGAGGGGACCCCTGCACTGTTGGTGTATTCTGCCATTTTATCATTTACCCCTGTAAGCTAGGAAGAAAAGGAGAAAATATTTTAAAAAGCACAAAAAACAGCTCCAGGAAATTGCTATGTTTGTGCTCTTGGCTGGCAGCAAACAAGGACTCAGTCAATCAGCATTTCCCACAAATAACATCTGTTACAATTTGGATGGTTTCAATAAATATAATGCAGAACCACATCTAGCAAATAGCAAACTAGCTGTTTAGCCAAAAGCACTTACCCTTGCCAAAAGCTGTTCAATTTCAATTGCCATTGTCTCAAACATTCTATCTTGACTTGATCCATTTAATAGAGGTGTTGTGTCAGAACTAAAGAGAAGTTTAATTAAAAAAAAAAAAAAATCCATTACTCAGTGCTTTAAAAACAGCCTTAAAATAACAAGGTAATTTTCCTTAAAGTGGTCGAATGAACCCCAAAACATTCTATTTCTTTAAAGATAATGCTTTTAAAATCAGCAAGATGACTCAGCGAGCAAAGATGCCCGAAGCCAGGCCTGATGCCCTGAGTTCGATTCCAGGGCCCACATGGTAGAAGGAGAGAACTGACTCCTGTAAGTCGTTCCCTGACAGTGCATATCATAGTCACTCTACATAAGTGTAATTAAAACAATTTAACTATGATTTCATTTTTCTTTTGAAAAATGTCCCACATGCCCTAAATTACTAAATACAATACAAAATATAAATCATAAAGACATTCCGAATGCTGTGTACTATTCCCCAAATGATAGAAAATAGTTCAAGCAACTTAAACCCTGAATCTAAAAACAAATAAGAAGCCAAAAATGCCTTATAATAGTGAAGGAAAAAACAGATTAGATTCCTTTATGGGGCTTGTGAGATATAATCTTTAGCTTTTCTTCAAAATTATGGTTTCTTATGCCTTAAATTCTCACTTCCTCTGATGACTCTTACTAAGAAATAAAACTGAGATTTAAATGACCTGATTAGATAACCAGTTATTAAGGAGTCAGGAGCTAGTATTCAGGCCAACAGAGAATGGCCAGCACACTTTCATACAAGCTTTCCACATCTTCATCATAATATACATTCATCTCATACTGTTTTACAAAAAGTCTTTAATGTCTTTTTAAATCTGACTTTTTACAGATGAAAGATGTTTGACAGACTCAAATTTTAAAATCACATATACTGAGAGTTTCATCTATCTCTTCTGGAAAAAAAAAAAACAGTACCTTTTATCAGAAACACAAGTAGTGTATGTATAATCACATGAGTGGCTTAATATAGATGAGTTATTTTTCACACAAATAAAATGGATTACACTCTCCAAAGTGTATGAAGAACTTTTCCTGCCCTTTTATAGCATCTGAACGTGGCAACTCAAAGAATCAATCATCAATTCAATGTCAAAAAGAACTTTAGCCACCACTGTTCCCCTATTTACTTTCCAACAAAAACAATCAGTGAAACAGCAAAAAAGTAGCTAATGAGAGGGTTCTGTTTGTTTGTTTTAAAGATTATTTATTTTACTTTATTTATGGGTATGTTTTCTGCCTATGTGAATTTACGTGCATCATGTGTATGTAGGAGCCAGAAGAGACCATTAAGAGGGCATCAGATTCCCTGGAGCTGGAGTTAGAGGCAGGAGCATGGCCATGTAGTTCCTGAGAGTCAAACCTGGGTCCTCTGCAAGAGCAGTACGAGCTCACAGCTGCTGAGCCATCTCTCCAGCTCCAGATTTTTCCCCCTTAAAGACAGAGGCCTGCTTTGTATACATAGGCCAAGCTAGCCTGGAACTTGTAATCTTTCTGCTCCATTCTCTTAAGTGCTGGGATTATAGGCATGTACCATGCCTGGCTTTAATAAGGATTCTTATTTTGGATGTTTAACTAGGTCTTAAGCTTTATTTCTTCTTCAAACATTCCTACTTATATGTCTTGCAACATGACATAAAAATATCTAGTTCTTAGCCAGGCATGGTGGTACACACCTTTAATTCCAGCACTTGGGAGGCTGAGACAGGAAAATAACAGGGTTGAGTCCAGCTTGGGCTACACAATGATAAACAAGAGTGGTGTTGAGGTTGGGATCAGCTCTTTACTGTGTCACAGCTGAGCCAAGGTTGTGAAGGTATCTCCTAAAACGTGCCACCACAAAAAGGCTGTATATTCTAATATAAGCCCTTCCCTACCATATACATTTAAAAGAACAGTGGGCCAATAGAAGTCAAGGAAGGAAACTGCCTCTGTCTTTTTCCTAGTTAAGTGCCTAGCACCTGGCAAATGGTGATTATTTACTGTTCTTTAAATATTTGTTGAATGAATGAGTAACAGGGCTATCTCTACTACTGGATATTTCATATTCACTATTCTTAGGACAGCATAGAAGCCCAGGGAAATGGTCAAAAACTCATTCTCTACAATATTAGAATTCAGTTAAATTTAATTCACTTGATAATGTGTGATGATCCACAGACGACCTAATTCTCAACATACAGTAAGAAAACCAAAATAACAAAACAGCCCAAGTCTCCTAGAAGAAATGTTCTGGTGATTGCTGACTTTATTCATGAGACATGCTTCTAATCTGGGCATTAAACACAAGACAAAGCATGCAGTCTTTATTTTTCCGTGCTGGAGATTACAGCACCCAACTCACACCCACCAGCCAAGTACTCTGCCACAGAGCCCAACCTCAGCCTTGTCCTCACAACCACAAGCTTTCTATCAAAAGCAGTCAGTCCCAGTGTGTAGCTGAATTCAGAATGTTCTCTTTTAAAGAGACTCTGAGCAGGGAACACAGAAAAAGCATCCTGCAATAGTATTTCCTGACAGACTTGTCACTGGCAAAACCAAATGTGAGCTTTAACAATGGGAAAAAAGCTTTCTGAACAGAAAATTTACTCACTGGGGGGGGGGGGGGATCCTCACTCTCCTTACTTGGTGAAAGTGTGCAAAGAAATGTCTTGCTCTGGAGTCCATGGGACATGCTACTAACATTTTTAGAGCCCAAAGTCAATACATTGGCCTTGCTAACTTTGCAAGCCATATACATGCCCTTATGAAAAAAGGAACACTTTGGCTACTATAATTAAAGGAGCTTTTGCTGGAATGTGTTTAATATGGCAGCTCTTAGAATATGGGTTCTGGAGAGAGAAGGTGTAAGTTCAGATTCAAGCTCAGTTTTGTTGTTTTCATTATTAGCTAAAATAAATAAATAAATCCATCTTCCACTAATCTTTGAAAAATACAGAAATAAGAGTTGATTAAAAACTGACAACTCTGTATACATAAGCATAATCTGGGTGGAAATATTCACAGTAGCATTTATACAAGGATCTAATAATAGAATTTGCAATGTGGTAATTATTCTATGCCAGCTATTAAAATTATTAGCAAAAATTAGAAATGTCCATCAAATAGCTAAATCCTAATGCAGTTGTTTTAATACATGTAACAAATGAAGACAGTAAAGTTAAATGCATCCACAACTGAACCTCAAAGATAATGTTAAACAAACAAACAAACAAAAAACCCAAACAGCTTTTGTAAGATACTATGACTTGCCTAGGAGTACTAAGATATGTAACAAAAATGTGATATTTATATGTAAATAGAAAAGACAACAATGTGATATGTTATTAGGGACTTCACTTGAATCTGCTGCAATCATTATTTCTTTAAAAGAGACACAAGCAAAAAAGGGTTCATTGTGTTATTCCTTATATATTTCTAAAAATCTCAAACATTTCCTAATTTTTTTTAAACAAGTAGATAACTTAAAGTAATCACAAGACTTAAAAATATGAATAAATTCCCTTGGGCTGCAAAATAAATAAATAAATAAATAAATAAATAAATAAAACAGTAAAACTAGCTTCCATGATTAACTGTGAGAGCCCTACATTAGATTCATTCTAAAAGAATAAACACCAGAAAAACAGTTCATATGTTTTGCATTTAGGTAGATCCTCAGTTTCATTCAGAAATTAGAAAACAAAAATCAGCCAGGTGGTGGTGGCACATGCCTTTAATCTCAGCACTGGAGAGGCAGAGGCAGGCAGATCTATGAGTTTGAGGCCAGCCTGGTCTACAGAGAGTTTCAGGACAGTCAGAATTATACACAGAAACCCTATCTTGAAAAACAAAAATAAAAGGAAGCAGAACAGAACTCATTGTGGACAAATCAGACACTTCTGTGGACTGAGACGGAAACTTCTTTGGATTTGCCACTGAGCCCAGAATGAGTTTACAATCAAATGTCTCTTATCTCAGCCTCCAAGTGCTAGGACAACAGGTTTACAGACCTGGCATCAAAAACGTTATTGATATTTTTAAACTCTAGAAGTTTCTTCCTGAGTTATCGCAATCTTTGTCTAAAGATCTCAAATAAATCTCAAGAATTAGAATTTCAGTAGGACATCCCCCACACACACACACACAGACACCCCACACACATAAAGAAAATGACAAAGAAATTAAAACATCAATAGTTCACCAGTAGACTGTCATAGAGTTCTGTGTCTCAGTTTACTTTTAAAAACACCATATAATCTAAGGTATAAGAGAAGCCAGTAGTACCTATACCTATCGCGTCCTCCATCTCGGGCGCTGCTGTGACTGTAACTTGTGCACAGTTTACTGAAGGAAACTAGTTTCAGGTCAAGTTCATTTTCCAGCTGTCGAGCTTGTTTCCTGAGATCTTTAAGGAAATTAAAAAGGCAAATCATTTTCCACCAAGAAACATTAAAATTACAAGAGTATTTTGAAGAAAGCCTACTATCACATACTGATCTCTGATCTAGTTGCCCAGAAACCAAAGTCTTACCCAAGCAAGTAAATTAAACTTCAGACAGGAGCACTAAGGGGAGCCTGGGTGGGAGACACACAACCTTCCACTTTTCTTTCAGCCAACCTAACATTCAGAGATTACTTTTACAGCAATAACCCAAAGTTGTAACTTGAAGGAAAACAAGGAGAATAGAAGTCTTCATACAAATATAAAGAAATGAAAATGGTTTATGACCACCACATCAATTTACCAGCTAACTTTATAAGAAGTCTACATTCTTTTGAAAGAAATTTCATGTTTCAAAGCTTTGTTAAGATTTTGGGATTCTTCTCATACAGGTAAAATACCTTAACAATTAAACACAAAGAAAAAGCCAATCAACAAAAATTAAAAATGGCCTTTTCAAAAACATTGAGGGGGATAGAGGTTAAAAACAAACAGTGCATCATGAACAAGGCAAAATACAAAATGTAACAGGTTTTTAAAGTATATATTTTGCCCGGCGGCGGAGGTGGCTCATGTCTTTAATCCCAGCACTCAGGAGGCAGGGGCAGGCAGATCTCTGTGAGTTCAAGGCCAGGACAGGCTCCACAGCTACACAGAGAAACCCTGTCTTGAAAAAAGAAAAAAAAGTATATGTTTTAAAAGTAGAAACAACAGATAAACAGGTGTAACAGCTTGGCTTCTAAAGGGCTGAATGAAGGAAGCCATACCTGGAAACTCCTATATATATCTGAGTATTATTATTCATGCTAAGAGTTCAAATGAAAGAACTAAAACACCCTACAGGACAGAAGAATCTGAATGCAATGGAAGGAAGGAAGCAGAACTATATGATGGATTATATTAACCTAGAGACCAAATCCCTCTTCGAATGTCAGCTCGGCAACTACTGTCTTTGAGATTTACTGAGGATTCAGTCCATCTAAAAGCTTCAGCCTTGTTTTTAAATCTCTACTGTCAGTGTTTTTCTATACATGCTTAAAGCATTTGACACAAGGTATACTACCAATAACGGCTTTATAGTGTTTCATAGCCTACTGACTATCAAAGACACCAGTAGCCACATCTGCATAATTTAAAAATAAATTTTAGCTATTACAAGTATTTCCAATGGGCATTTTAAATACATGTTTTAAGCTGTAGGCAGGTTTCCCTTTAAGTCTAGCTTTTTCTCTTTCTTTCTTTTTTTTTTTTTTTTTTTTTTTTTTGGTCTAATGGGAAACATCAAGTAGAACATATTTTGAAAATATGACAGACTGGAACTTAAAATTCAGTCTCTTATGTCAAATGGTTGATGACAATAACTATGGTGATACACTGTTTATGCTTAAAGCCACTGGAGACCAAAATAGCAAAGCAGCCAAGCCAATAGATCTTACCTATACTCAGGTGAAAAGGCAATCCTGTCTCCACAAATCTTCAGAGGCAAAAGTCTCTTAATTCCTGCCTCATCCTCCTCATATTCTTTTCTCTACCCAGCCATATCCTCTCTCCACCTCCCTAGTGCTGGGATTAAAGGCGTGTGATCCCAGGTGCTAAGATCACCTTTTCGTGTGTGCTGTTTCTTTTAGGACTGGTTCAATTTTGTGTAGTTAATGTGGCCTTTAACTAACAGAGATCAGTCTACCCCCCCCCCCCAAGTGGTGGGATTAAAGATGTATACCACCACCGCCTGGCTTCTATATAGCTAACTAGTATAGCTGCTTTGCTATTTTGACCTCCAGTGACTTTGATAAATCATAAACAATATATCACCACACCATATTTTCCAGGGGCTTCATCGGTCAGAAAGAGGGAATAGGGGAAAAAAAAAAAAAAAGCAAAGAAGAAAATAGTTCAAAGAAAATGTGAGCCATTTCTGATCTTTGTGGCTCATAGTGTAGTCTAGGAATGCTTTACATGACCCTCACTTGATTGGACCAGATTTTCAGGAATTAAACACACTTGAATGTTCTCTTGGGAGGATGATAACAAATGTATCAATTAGAACCCTTTATCATTTTAACAATATGATCCTGAACTCCAGGACAGAAGGTAAAGTTATTTTCAGTATTCTGTCACCCAATCCTCGATGAAGTCTCAATCTTAAATTGCCAATAGGGGTCCAGGAGGTGACAGTCCCCGTAATGTCTGGGAACCCCTCAAGGCCGGCCGGGCTGACAAGTTCCTCTCAGTTTTCTGACAGTGGCCGTAACTCCAAGGCTCTGCCTACTGTCTTCCGGGCTCTGGATCTTCTGGCTCGACACTCGTCTCCTCCCAAGAGTTCGTCCCCAAAGCCCCATCGGCAGCCTCACCACTCCTCAAACACGTCCACCTGGAGCCCCAGGCGCCTCTTCTCTCCATCCCGGCTCCCTCCACTCCACCCAACCCCTTCCCAGATCCGGTTCACTCCGCCCCAGCCTCTTCCTCGAGTTCCCAGGCCCGGGGCGCCTTTCGGACAACCTCATAGCGCAGTGTGGCCGTTCCTGAGGTCTGTCTCTTCCCTCTGCTGCCTTCCTCAAGACCCGGCCTCACTCAGGGGCCCCTGCACCTGGCAGGACCCTCCCGGAGGCCTCGCCCTCACCTTCCCAGTAATTGCTGGTTCCCGCCGCCATCTTTGTTGCCCAACGTCAGTCGGGACAGCAGAGTAGAGGCGTTGCGGGCCAGAGAGTCACCTCCACGCCTTCTTCCACCCGGAGCGCCAGGGCTGATGGGATACGCGAGTCTCCGTAGATACCTCCACCTGGTGGACAATTCGTTATTTTACATCTTTAAGTGGTGCGTTTGAAAACTTCGGTTTAGCTTGTGACGCTGCCTGAATCTCTCTGTCCTGGGTGTTCATACCACCTTCCTGCGCCCTCAGTCTTCGATTCGTTCGCCTAGGCTTGTTCCTCCTTTCAGTAGGTGACTGAGAGGAGAGGAGACACACTCGCGGTTTCCCTCATGTCCGCTGCAGTAGATGTTTTGGGACTGGGGGCGGGTGTATAGTGAGTAAGGTGCCTGCCTAGATGTTAAGAGGCTCGGGGTGATCCCAGCATTCCATAAACAGAACATGGGTGACACATGCCTTCAGTCCTAATACTCAGAAGGTGGGGTCAGGAGGATCAGAAATTTAAGATCACCCTCGGCTATGAAGGGAGTTCGAAGCTAGGGATAAATGAAGCCCCCCATCTCTAGAAGAAAAAGAAGGGATGTGTCTTCAGTCAGCATTTTCCTTTTTGGGACTTTCAGCGACTCTTTTCCTCACCCTCCCTCCACCTGTGTCCACCTTCCACCCTCCCACATGTGAGGCTTTCTTCCTTATGTCTACAGCAGAGCCTCAGCCCTCTCTTCTTTTTAGTCAGCACGGGGTGCTAACTACTTCCCTCCTCTTTTCTCCCCTTCCCCTCCCTTCCCTAACATGCTCACAACCTGAAGCTCACCCATTTGGTTAGATTGGCTGTTTTGCAAGTCCCAGTTTTGCTCTTGAGTGTTGGGATTACAGACATGTGCACCTATGCCTAGCTATTCATGTTTGTGTTAGGGATCTGAAGTCACATCCTCATGCTCGTATGCCAAGCAATTCACTGGTTGAGTATAATCTGTATTCAACTAACAGAATGTTATGTGTGGTTTAAGTTCATTGAGAAGTAGGTTGTGGACATAGGGTTACCACCCCTGCCCTCAGAGTCACACACTTTATACCCAAGCATGTCTCTCTGTGTCTCACAAGATCCCTTGTCTGAGGATGGGCTGGCCCAAAGAGTAAAAATGCCATGTCTGTGGAAACAGAGGAGAGTGAAGTGTTTGAGTCTAAATACTATGTCCTTGATCGCAGCTGGAAGGCCAATCAGTCCCAGTCACCTGGCCAACATAAAAACAGCTGTGGTGGGAAAGGCTCATTGGCAGTCTCACCTAACAGAAGACATTCTTCCTGGAACCCTTTTGTGGATCATGGGCTCCAACTGATTGTTCTTGTTCTCCATGCTTCCCCAGTTGCTTTCTGCTGGATAATGTAAGTGTCTGATTTCATGCACTATGCACTACTACCTCCTTCCTGTTTCATTCTTTTACTTCTGCTTGATGTATTGAAAATAGCATGCTGTTGCAGATCGTTCTTCATACAGAACACTGAGCACTCTCCCAGGTCCCCAAGTACTCATTTTTAAAATTCTATTTCTCATTGTTCTGGCTGGAGAACATCCACTATTCTATCTTCAAGTTGATTGACAAACAAATGGGTTTTTTGATGGGAGATGTCATTCTGTATATGTTTCTCATACTGGTTAATAAATAAAGCACTGTTGGCCAATAGGAAAGGAAGATAGGAGGGACTAGGAGACAAGGAGGAAGAGGAAGTAGTAAGGAGGGGTCAGGATGGAGAGCCTGGAGAGAACAGAACTGCCATTCCTCCGCTCTCGGTAAGACCACGTGGAAATACATAGAAATGGGTTAATAATTAAGACAGAGCTAGCCGATAAGAAAGTAGCACTTGGCCAACAGCATAATATCAAATACAAAGTCTCTGTGTATTATTTGGGGCTGGCGTGGCGGCAGGACAAGACTCGGCGGTGGGCAAAAAACCGTATTCCTTACAAATGGCACCCAACGTGGGCCCGCTCCATTTTGCTGCCAAACCCATCTGGTGAGCCGATTTCAATTACTGAACTTTTCAGATCTGAGAGCTTGCGCTCACTCCCTCATGTTTGTGAGAACTGCCTCCTGCTGAGACGTTTTTAAATCATGGGTTACAAGTTTGTTTATAGCTGGACATGGTGGTACACACCCTTAATTCCCAATGGCTGGGAGGCAAAGCAACATGACCTCTGCATTTGAGGATGGACTGGCTTACATAGTGAGTTCCAGGACAGCCAGGAGTGTCTAGAGAGAGTCTTATCTCAAAGAACAAAACAAATGAAATAATAAAAAAAGAGTTTGTTTATAAATACCAGGCTATTTTCTTTGTGGGTGCTTTTAAATTCTTGTCAGATAATTCTGATATCTAGATGTTGGCGTCTGTTGGTTGTGGTTTTCATTAATTGCAATTTCCTGGGTTCTTGCCATATGAGTGATATATGTCTTTCTATGTATATGTCCTGAGTATTTTAGGGTGGGGGGGAAGATGGATCCATTGGTAAATCAAACATGAGGCCATGAGTTCAAATCCCCTAGAATCCATATACCCATGTTAAAAAAAATTTTAAGCCAGGAATAGCAGATTGAACCTGTAACTCTAGTGTGGAGGTTGGGGTAGATTGGGGAGATGGCCAGAACACAGGAACTCATTGGCCTCCCAGCCTACTGGAATCTGTGAAGCTCCAGGTTCAGTGGGAGACTGTTTTCCAAAAATAAGGTGGAGAGTGATTGATGGAGACATCCAGCATCCATTTCTGGCCTCCACATGGATACAAATGCATGCATGCCTGCATGTACATATGTACATACACACATAAATGTACCACTCACACAAAATACAAAAATTTTTTAAATGTATTGTGGATATTTTAGGTATTGTAAGTACAGTGATTTGAATGTGGAATGCCCTCCCACAGGGTCATGTATTTGAACACTTGGTTTCCAGCTGGTGGTGCTCTTTAGGTTGTAGAACCTTTAGGAGGAGGAGTCTTGTTGAGGAGGAGGAGTCTTGTTGAGGAGGTGGAGTCGGTGGAGGAAGAGGAGTCTTGTTGAGGAGGTGGAGTTTTGCTGGAGTCTTTCCAAGCAATAACATACTACAAAACATTTTTTCTCTAAATGAGCCCATGTTCCCTAGTTACTAGGCCTCTGAGCTTACTCTCCTGTGGCAGGTGGGAAGAGGCCCACAGCAGCTCACCTCAGCCAAAGATCAGCAAAACACTTCCATGTTCAGACTAGACATGTATGACATGGGAGAGTGAATCAGGAGCTAGGGGAGATGGCCCTGTGTGTATAGTGTTGGGCAAGTGTAAGGACCTGAGTTCAGATTTCCAGCACTCACATAAATGCCAGGCAAGTGTGGCTGTAATCCCAGCACTAGGGTTGCAGAGACAGGAGATTCCTGAAGCAAGCTGGCTAGCTGGGCTAGCCAATCAGTGAGCTTTGTTCAAGTGAGAGAACCTGAAGAGCAGTGAGGAAGACACTTCACAGGAACCGCTAGTGTACACGCGCGCGCGCGCGTGCACACACACACGCACACACGCACGCACACACGCACACACGCACACGCATATATGCTTATACAATGCAAACATGCATGCATATATATATGTGTGTATATATATATATATATATATACATATATATATATATATGCCCAGATATCATACAAACATAGGCATGCAATAAAGAAGAATGAATCAAAATCCATGGTATGTTTTGGGGTGTTAGAGGATCAGCTCTTACAGACTGGGCCAACATCTTAGTCTCCTATTACTGCTATTAGTGGAAATTGTGAATTTCAGATTTCTTGAGGTGCTCCTAAAGGGAGTTGCCAGTAGATAGCTTTTCTTAACTGTTCAGAAATATGCCATGACTTCCCAATAGAGTGTCTTCTTGGAAGAGACAACAGGGCATTGACACTGGGTCTCCTACAGTCTCTGTCTGCATTGAAAGGCAGGGTTCAAAACAAAACAAAACAGATTTTACACAAAGAAACCAGGTTGTTAAGGATAGCATGTGTGACAAGAAAGCAATGCTGACCTAGTGTTGGTGGCACATGCCTTTAATCCCAGCACTCAGGAGACAGAGGCAGGCGTATCTCTGTGAGTTTGAGGCCAAATTGGTTTACAGTGCTAGTTCCAGGACAGGTTCCTAAGCAATATAGAGAAACCCTGTCTCAAAAAACAAAAAACAAAACAAAACAAAGAAAGCAAGCAAGCCATTTAGAACCCAGCTTGGAGGACCTGAGAGATGAACAGGGGAATGAATGGGAAATGTGTTAGGATTTCTATTGCTATAAAGAGACAACCATGACCATGGAAACTCTCATAAGACATTTAACTGGGTGGCTTACAGTTCATAGGTTCAGTCCATTATCATCATGGAGGGACATAGTGGCATGCAGGCAGACACAGTGCTGGAGAAGGAGCTGAGAGTTCTACATCTTGACCTTTAAGTGACAGGAAGTGAACTCTGTCACTGGGTATAGCTTGAGTGTAGGAGACCCCAAAGCCCACCTCCACAATGACACACTTCCTCTAATGAGACCATACCTACTCCACAAAGCCACACCTCCTAATGATGCCACTCCCTTTGGGGGCTATTTTCTTTCAAATCACCACAGGAAATGATGTGTAAAGGGGAAACTGGACTGTTTTTAACTAGGAGGCAAGATCTCCAGGTAGTAGCTGGGGACCAAAGGCTAGACCACATGACAAACAAGGTTAATAATGGGGAAAATCCATTGGCAAGAGCCCAAAAGAAAAGAGGGCTCTGACTTGAGACCTATTTCTCCTGCCTTGGCTAGTTTCCTAATCTATTATGTAGATAAGGTATAGGAGTCAAAGACTTTACACTCACCATGTAATGGAAGCCTTGTCACACGAAGACAAACAGCAAGGATGCTGCCTCCTAGTTTAAAACACAGTGAGTCTCACTAATTAGCCCTGGCTGTCCTGAAATTTTATGCATAGGTCAAACTGGTCTGGAACTCAGGGGTCCACCTGCCTGTTTCCCAATTACTGGGATGAAAGGTGTCACCATTCCCAGCCCACCTTTTCAAATTGTTCTTAATAAAGTATGTTTCACCTCAAACCACCCAGAGTTACAAGACAAACTATATTGTTTGTAATTTGTAAATTGTTTTGTATTTCCCTACATAAACATACCACCTGCAATTAAAAAAAATGTTATCTAGTTTTCAAAAAAAGCTTGGTTTTATATGAGTGTTTTGCCTGCATGTATGTGCAGTGTGTTCATACTTGATGTCCAAAGATGGGAGTGTCAGATCCCCAGGAACTGGAGTTAGGGATGGTCAACCACCATGTGGGTACTGCAAACTAACCTGGGTCCCTCTCCAAGAGCAAGTGCTCTTAACCACTGACCAACTCCCAGCCTCATGTATCCATATTTATTTTCATGCTGAGCTTTCTTGTCACAGAGGAAAGTTCAGATACTTTGGTGGGTGTTTGTTTTTGGTGACAGAGTAGACAACTCCAACTCTGCAGTTTTCATCTGACAGACCTAAATCATGTCTTGCTTCTCTTTCGTCCCCAATTGTCAATAGGGCTCTTCTCCTTTGTGTTTTGTGTTCCACTAGAAGCTACAGCTCAAAGATGGTCTCAGGTCCCATGTACCCAGTTCATCTCACACTTACTTTTTACTTAGAAGCCCTCACTCTCCAGTTTGTGCTCTGATCTACTTTGACATGTTTTAGACCACATGATGATTCTACATGGGGCCCAGTAACCCAACATAAACTTTGTAAATTTGGCAGTGTTAAAGTTTTTGAATATGCCACCACTAAGAATTAATTCAAAATCAAATATATGCTGGATAGTGGTGGCACATGCCTGTAATCCCAGTATTCAGAAGACAGAAGCAGGCAAATCTCTGAGTTTGAGGCCAGCCTGATCTACAGAGTGAGTTCCGGGACAGCCAGGGCTACACAGTGAACCCTGTCTCAAAACTCAGCCCAATAAAATGTGCAATGATTCCAGGGCATCCTGGGCTTTGCTTGCCTTTTCTCAAAATACTTCACTAGTTTTGGTTCTGGGTACACTACCCAGACTTTGCACTGTGCATGACATCACACCACACAAAGACAATGAATGCTGCCTGCAACACCCAGCTCAGAGATCTGCCTGCCTCTGCCTCTAGGTGGATCTTTGTGACTTCCAGGCCAGCCTGGTTTACAAAGCAAGTTCCAGAACAGCTAAGGCTATTACAGAGACACAGAGAAACCATGTCTGAAAAAAAAAATTGACCATGCTGTGTCAGTATTGCATATTCAGCTAAAATTTAGGTAAAAATATGCAAGTATATTTATCTCATTAGCCTGTAAATGTTTTCATCTTTAATGGTGAAATTATGTGTACCAAAGAATTAAAATAAATTTTTTATGGTTCATTACCACTGGATGCTTGATTTGTATATTTACTCTTTATTCTCATACACACAGGATTGTTTAAAAATTCCTTAGGCTACAAGTGGATGTGGTCAACAGCCCTATTAGACCCTTCAGACCGCAGCAGGCTTGTCTTTCTGGCAGTAATTCTAGATCAACACTGGAGTGACACATCCATTTGCTGACATTCCTCTGTCTTCCTTGCAGTTCGATTCCTAGCCTGGTGGTGGGACTGAGGATGGGGAGGGTAGAGGGCATTAGCAAGTACATGCTGTGATGTTATTTTTCTCATTTTATTAGATTTGATTCTGAATTCTCTACTTCCAAATTTTATCAAGAGTATGGTTTCTATACACATTTTCTTTGAGACAGGTTCTGCCTATGTAACCCAGGCTGGCCTCAAACTGGTGATCTCAGATTACTGAGATTACAGGTGTGTGCCACCATGCCCATCCTTTTTTTGTTTTGCATTATTCTATAATGAAACACTGGGAGACAGTTAGGCTGCTTAACAGTGTTTTCAGCTATCTGAAAATTCATCTTCATCCTTGAAGAATGTGTTATATATTCAATGTTAGAATCACTCAGGTATTAGTCAGTACTCTGAAAACAGACTTTTGGCATATGTTTGTTTCTGTCATATCTCTTTATTTCTTTTCTTTTGTTTTGTTTTTGGAGACAGGGTTTTTCTGCATAGCCCTGGCTGTCCTGGAACTCACTCTGTAGAGTAGGCTGGCCTTGAACTCAGAGATCTGCCTGCCTCTGCCTCTAGAGTGCTGGAACTAAAGGTGTGTGCCACCACCACTTAGCTCAAATTTCTTAAGTCTCCTAAGAATATCTACATGTCTATCTTCTGGCCAAAACAACTCTCTAATGTCTGTACAGTTTCTAAATGTTCCACCTTAAATTTCTACAGCTATCACTCTTACTCTCCATTACAACTTTGACTTTATCTTGGTCTCTTCATAGTCTTCTATTTGAATACATTATTTTTGCAAAAGTTGAGGTATCCAGTCTATCCTAACCCCACCTTTGCAGATAAGGGGTCTGACTATATAAACCAGCTTCGCCTGTCTCTGCCTCCTTAGTGCTGGGATTAAAGGTGTGCACTATGCCTAGCTATAGAATTACCTTTACTTACCATGCTGCCTTCAATCTAATCATGAGACTCTTACCCTTTTGTCTTCAGTCTTCTTCCAGGATAGACTCAACATTGCACTATACTCTTAACACCTCTTAATCCCACTTTACTCCACCAAGGCCAACCTGTTATTTTTACTCATCTCATTCACATTTGTTTACACAGTAACATGGAACTAAATTCCATTTGACCCTAGCCAAAAGTACTAAAGAAGTGGCATGCTTGCTTAAACCTATTACTGGTTAATATAGGTGGAAACCATAACATTTAAATGCCATGCTTTTGCAGATTCCATTGCTTTTTAAGTTTTGGGTCACTAATGACATTGTTATTTAATGTTTATAATAAGTAACAGGGAATCACTAATAGAGTTGGATTTTAAATGAGACATGCAGACCTTCATGCTGGCCATTTATTTACAACTGACAAGCATATGAGCAGTAACCACTGTATTCCGTGCCGGTAACAGCTCCTAGACATCTGAAAACTGAACACAATCAGTAGATTGAGTTTATAAAACCAACCAAAAGACTTCTGGATTCAGGCATCACAAAAAAAAAAAAAAAAAAAAAAAAAAAAGGTAAAATTCAGGACAGTATTTCAGTTAGACAAACCTTTATCAAAGAAGTATAAATACAACCTAATCTCACCTAAAAAAAAAAAAAAAAAGTATAAAACATCTGTAAAATCAAAACTGAAAGTTCCAGCAACTTTCTCTATCTAAATATGTCTTCTAAATTGAAAAGATGACCTCTAAAAGATCTTTGTTCATATCACTGAAAAACTACTTTCAAATGGATCAGGAAACATCAGATGAGGGAAAATGACACTGGTTACTCCAAGTATTCAGTTTTGAGCCAAATATCATGCTAACTTATTCATCAGCCCACACTATTGTTCTATTGTAGACCGTTCCTTAACAGACATGGAACTGAGACTCTGAACCTGTTCTGAGAATCCTGCAATTCAAGGTCACATTGTAAATGACATCCATCACAGACTGGGCCAGGCTGAAACCTCTCAGAACTTCCTTGGGAGACTTTCTACTGAGATATGCTAAACACTACTGAAGCAGAGTTTATTGTCATTTCTCTTCCTCTAATCTGGGCTATGAGTTGCCTATCAGCACAGTCCATGTTTTCCCAAACACTTAGAGCAGGAATACTGAAGAAACTTGTTAAATAATAAGGGGACACTGATTCATCATCACCACACCTGACATGCCAGGACACGTTATTCTAACTGGGCTTTACCTGGAACAGAAACCATAATTTTAACAAGCAAGTTTAACATGTGTCTATAAACTACTGGTGCTTTCCTGATCTGAAAGATGGCACACAGAATAGTTGTGAAACGGGTACAGTGTTAAAACCTGGGTTGTCACTGTGTGTGGTGCCTCTGTGGAGTGGCTGAATGTATCATTCTAGACAAGCTACTCAACTGTGGCTGCTATATGATACCATCACTTCTGACATAAAACCTCTGTTAATTCATACAGACAGGAACATTTTTATAGGTGACTCCCTATATTCTGACTTTAGTACTATTTTCTTAAGTTAGATAGAAAGACTTAACTTAAAACTTTCAAAATCAGAGCAGTAACTTTCTTTGGTCTATTAGTTTTGAATAAAGATCATGAGACAACACACAAAGGAAGACAAACATCATAAAATAACTTTTATACAGGATTAGTAGATCTGTTTACATATAAAAAACAAAGGACCTCATTACAGTTAGATTTCACATAAATTACACAGATTAACTTTTAAAACTACTATTCAATTCTTTTAAAGTCCCTTTTAAAATTTTCATTTTGAAGGCACAGTGCATGAACTAAAACAAAATATCAAGCACTTAAGATGAATGGGTGTTAGGCATGTCACAGAAATAGCTAATGGATAGTTTTGGAGCTGGGGAGTTATTCTGAAGAAAAGCAGAGAGGTGAAAAGAACAGAAAATTCCATGTCATACCTCCAAAAACTCTGCAGCATAGAATGCAGCTAGTACATTCATGTTATGCCATTTATAAACATTGTAATTGTCTATATTTACATAATTTTTGTCCAGTTGCCTCAAAATGGTAACCTACTTTCAAATTTCAACTAGGAGAGTACTCTGAGAGTCAGTGAAACCATTAATGAATTTTTTTTTTTGGGCAAATATAAAAAAGTGAGTGTTGGGAGGGTTTTTCTTCAAGAACTAGAAATCTTAAATTCAATTGACATTCATCAAATGCTCTAATCACCCTCCCCCAAAACTGCTAAAATTAAAATAAACCAGAAACCCAAAGTTATTAACAAGTTGCTATACAGCAGATCACTGAATATTTAACTATTAGTGAAATTTTAGTGATAATAAAGGAAACAATTGGGGGAAATGCTGGGCTGCTACTGTAAAACAATCCTGCCAGAGACCCACACCACAGGACATCATGACGTATTCACAGCCAGGAAGCTTCTAAGAGAAGAGGGACAAACCCTGTCACAAGTGAGAGTATGACAAGACAATAAGCCTATTTAATGCTGGGAGTAAGTGGGAATAAATGGAATTGCAAGTCTTGGTTACTGGTAACCTGGTGCTAGCTGAAAAAACACAGTGAGTTCAGACATAAGCACTACCTTTTTATTTTTCCACTCATAATTAGTTTTAAATTTAATATTCACTATTTCAGCAAGTCTCATTCAGATGAAATCACCAAAGATCAACCAAGCACACTGAGCCAAAAATATAATGTTTCCTTCCTCGAGGCCGACAGTCCCAAAGCCAGTTCCCTTCAGTGAGGATGGCAAGCGCTCTTCACTGGACAGATCCCAAACCACCCAGAGCTCCTCCACATACAACAAAAGCTTGCCAGTCATTACCAGTACAAGCACATGCTCACAGGCAGACACATTAAACATCACCTACCACTCATGGTCTTTTATTAAGGAGTAGGGAGAGAAGAAGGCTTATAAACTCATCACCAGGATGAAGCAATGCCTGTGAGCAAAGGGAAGGCACATCTCAGATGGGGGCAAATGGGTCCATGACTCTAGAGAAATGGAAAGTCTCCAGGAGAAACACTGAAGAAATGCATTCCCCATTCCATATGGCTTCAATACCCTCTGCTGCCAAAGTGGTCCAAGATCAGATTAGATCCACAAATAAAAGAAGGCAGGGCTAAGAACACAGTCTTAGAAGTCATGGATCCCGTACATTCATGTTCATAGGTAACAGAGGATGGGGAAGGCTGGTTTTCCAGCTCAATGCCTTAGAAGTTCATTAAAGACTTAGAGTTTGGGTTTCATTTCAGAAAAAAAAAAAAAAAAAAAAACCAACAACAACTAAGAGAACTATTCTGTATATTTATCTCTAAAACTTCCATACATACTTTAAAAGGCATGGCCTTTGACTGCTGAGATGTACTGTTAAAGACACTTAATTCCAGAGAACAAGTGGAAAGGTGTCCTTTAGTGAACACCAACGCTAGTAAAGCAAAGGCTGTCACATGAACTTGGTTTCTAGCTGTAATGTCCCAAGCAGGGCCCAGCCATAAGCCCCTTGTTGGTTTTCTGACTTGGCACTTTATTAAAACTAAAGCTGAAAAAGAGCAATACACATCATTTAGAAAAACACAAAGTGTTATAAGAAATGAAACCATGTGCCCTTCCTTAGTATTAACTTCCAAGAACTATTCTGTTTGTGTGGCAAAACAAGGATTCAGACCTGCTGATGCCAGTACTCATTCCAGAATGGCCAGACCTAAGCCACCTGACTGACCACAGCTAACAAACATCATGATCTCATTATCCCTTCCACTAACCAGGATCTCCATTTCATACAGCCACTTGACGCATTCCTCACAAAATGTGGCTGACTGACTTAGGTGAACTGAGGTTTTGGGGTAACTGATACATTAATGGTATGAATACAGTTTGGAAAGTTAAGAGCTAGTTTTTTGATCCCCTGATTTAGTACAAGTTCAGCAGCAATTTGGCCAATAAAACATTCAAAGATATTAAACTGTTAAGTCATTGGTAAGACTCACACTTACAAAAAGCATCATTCCACTGAACGGCATTTAGAGACACAATAAGATGCAAATCTTGCAGGTCTTTGCCTGACTGGCAGTGAAGAGGACACCTTCGCACCACTGTCCCATCACACAGCAGTCCTTTAGTTGACTTTTTTTAAATGGAGGGAGCCATATTTAAAAGCTTTGAACTGAATTTTTTAACATAATTGCTTGATTAAAAAACCAAAAAGGACTGTCTAAGGAATCAGGACTTTTGGAGGCCTGTATGCACAGGGCCACAGTATTTCCATCACAGGGTGAAGGCTTGGGCTGGAGCATCAAGTGTAGACATTAAGGATCCAAACGTATTAAGAATGTACAAGTAGGTCTCTTCCACTCTTAGATATTTTCATCAGTAGAATTCAGGGCCTTTAGTGTGGGATCATCTGGAAACCGTAGGTGTACAACACGGAAAGGGCTGAGATTTAGGAAACATTAAGGAACAGGCATTCCTAGAATGAGTGCTTCACAGATAAAGCAGCAGCACCTGTGGGTTTTCCCAAGTTAAGACAGGCAAGTCCTTGCTTCTGCTCCATCTCCCTCTCAACTCTACTCACGGGACCCCTGGCACCTCCACAGCAAAGCCAGTGAGTCCCCCTTAAGATGAGGGTATTTAGAGCTTTGATAACCCTTACAAGAGAGGTAGTAAAACCCTGCTACAGCACAGCCCACCAGTTCTGATCCAGCTTGGAAACAGGTAGAAAAACAAATACGGAAGCCCACTTATTCCGTTTTCTAATGTCATACATGTTTAAGAATCATCCAGCCTCCATTACCTGAATAAGAGAAACCCCAGCTATTTGCTAACTGGAGAAGAGAACTCCTCAGTAGATGGAGAAAAATCTCGAGTTTTTAAAGCTTTATGTCAGAGTCTGACTGGTGTCCCTGCTTTAATGTTTCTGGGTTCTTTTGGCCTTTAAAATAAAGAGAAACAAAACTAAAGCCACTAGTAAACACCTGATGTGCAAAATACAACATCTACTAGATGGCTTTATGCTGTTACTACATAAGCTCTGAACAGCTCATCTTAAATAAAAAAGGAAAACAAAGTGGCTGTCCCATCATCTGCTGTATAAATAAAAATCAGATTTTAGAAAAGGTTAAGAGTACTTTAAGGGAGGGAAGTTCAGAACTGCCTGTGATATTCAGAGAATATGCATTTAGCAGGTTCATTTCCCAAAGCTCTTTGAGGAAGGAAGGAATCCCTCTTCTTACTGCTCCCAAGAAGAGCTATCACTTTGCTTGGTGCTTATGCAGGGACATATGCAAAACATGGTTTTCAATGTTTGCTAGAATATAGCGTTTCCTCCTCTGTGTCCGTTTCATCCTGGAACTCATGGCTTAGGAGGGACTTCTTGGAGCCAGTGGACATCATTCGTATTTCATCTTCATACTCATCATGATGCTGTCGGAGCCGATGGAAGCCATCTTTGTGTCTGTTAGACTTGATGGAGCAGATGCACCAAATGATGCAAGCTGTTAGGATCAATGCTGACATTGTGGCACCTGTCCAATAAGACCACATGGGGGTGTTATGAATAAGCAACTACCTCCAATGGCACTTTTTAATAATCTGTCAGTTACTTTAAGTTCATGCAATAAAGAGCAATTTGCTTGGTCTAGAGATGTTCTTCTGTAGTAGAATGCTTGCCTGGCAGGCAGGAAGCCCAGGCTTCAATCTCTAGTATCTCAACAAAAACTATCCCCGTTATCCTGGAAGCAGCGCATATACAGTATACAAGCTGTAAAACAGTAAGCAAACCCAGCAAGAATCAAAGCCCAACACTGTGACATTTCTACTACCTGAAGAGAGTTTTTAATTGCTTTAGTGTTATTTTCCCAGGTCTTCTTTCTTTCTTTTCTTTTTCCTGGGAATTGATCCTAGGGCAAGCTTTCTACCACTGAGCTGCACTCTCAGCCCCCCCCCCCCAGACAGTTTCCTTTTTTCTTTTTTTGTTACAAACTTAAAAATAGTTAAAGTACAGTTTACTTATATTGTGTGTGAGCACATATGTGCACACATGCATGCATATGGAGGTCAGAGGACAACTTGTAAGCACTGTTTTCTCTACTGTGCACAGGCTTCAGGGATTAAACTCAGGTCATCGTCAGGCTTGAGCAGCAAGAGCTTCTGTCCACTAATGCCATCTCAATGGCATATTTATCTATTTAGACTGGGTCTCATTGCATCTCAGTCTGAGACTTGCTATGTAGTCCTGACTGGTCTCTTAGCTTGCAGTGATCCTTTTGCCGTAAGCTCTCTTTTATTTTAAACTTGTATACAAGATTACCAAAACTATTGCTTAGCAATAACAACAGAAAATAATAGTCATGAAATAGTCATGAGTTCACAATAGCTGATGGCTGGCAAAGTTAGATTTGACCCACCACTTAATCCAGCTCTTGTGCCTTTAACCACTAAGTTCTTTGTATTTTTCCAGGTTCAAATAAGAACACTAAGAACCCCACAAGAGGTCCTGTGACCATACCATGTTCCTAACATTTGCCCTAGACCCCTCACCTCTGCAACAGGGCTTGGGTTTTTGCTTTAAGTCCAATTTGAACTGAGAAGTGAATGGAAGGTCATGATGTCAAACAGATGCAATTCAGTGGAATACTGCTTTCCCCATGTATTTTCCCCTTAAACTCTCAGTAATTCATCACAACACAAATTAACCCGGGGAGAAAATGTTTCCTCTTCCCTGGACGTTGAAAAACCAAAATGTAGGGGCTGGAGAGATTGTGCAGTGGTTAAGAGCACTGGCTTTCCCCCCATAGGATCCAGGTTCAATTCTCAGCACACACATGGCAACTCACAACTGTCTGTACCTCCAGTTCTAGGGGATCTGACACCTTCACACCAATGCACATAAAATAAAGTTAAATAAATTATTAAAAAAACAAACAAAAATGTAATTCTAGCACCCAGTGTGATCTTATTGATATAGAGCAACATTTGCTTGTTTAACAATATCCAGTAAGATCCATTTGTGCTACCTATGGCGGTAGGGTTTGGGGATGCAGAGAAACTCATTGTTGCCTAAAACTCTTGTTTTGGTGGGGAACATTAAATGTAGACAACACAGTAGACAGATAAATATGGTATCAGTGATGACTATAACAATGGGACAAAACAGGGTAGAGATAGTAACAGCACAACTGTGTTAGCTAGAGTAATGAGGGAAAGTCTCTTGGTGGAGGTGAGTTTGAATATGGACCTGCAAGCCAGGAAAACATAACAGGACAATAGCTTGGGGAAACCAGGTTGAGGTAGGTAGAATCTAGGGAAAAAGCAATTGGCCAGAGGTTTGTGGGGGCTAGCTACTCTCAAATCACAACTGGTTTTAACTTCAAGTAGTAAAAACTGAAAATCTTTACCTGACACAGTTACCACAAGTTCCCTTGGCAAACCAAATATCCGGTTATCTGTATCAAAGACTATTACCACAGAACTGGCTGCATCATGATGAACAAAGACCTAGAAGGATAAAGTGTAAGAATTATAAAGAAGTCACCATAGGCCTGGAGAAATAGCTCTGCAATGAAGAGCACTGGCTGCTCTTTCAGAGGACTTGGATTTGGTTCCTAGCATCCTCATGGTGACTCACAACCATCTATAACTCCTGTTCTACAGGATCCAGGAATCTAAACCCTCTTCTGGCTCTGCTGGCATTGCATATGCATGGTGCATAGACATATATGCAAGCAAACATACATACACATCAAATATTAAAATTTAAATGAAAAAACACTATGGTATACTACAGCCCTGCTTCACTAAATACTTTTAGGCCTATAATGCAAACCAGGAAGGTAAATGAGTGTTATCTAAACTACAAAAAATTCTATGCAAGTTTTTCTTTTGTTGATAAGGAATAGAAAACTACCTTTTGGCAACAAAAAAGATAATAGATGCTGTAATCAAGAGATAGGCATACTTTTCATTTCTTTATTCCTTTCAAGCTCTCTAACAAGAGTTTCAAAATGTTATTAACAATAAACACATAATTTGACTTGAGTTTCTTACCTGTGAATGTTGCTGCTGGTACCCTTCAGCAATGGCATTGATGTTATGAACACCAGGAGCTAAAAGCACATGGAAATAACCCCCCTCTTTTGTGTGCACTTTTATTCCTTCATTGAGTACAATGACTGCTTTAGAGATCGGTTTACCAGTCCTGTCTTTAACTAACCCATGGACTCCTTTGTGGACCTGGAAAAAAATGTTAATATAATTTATGTTTTTACAATGTCAGCAGATATTTTGCAGGCAATAGTTTGAGGCTTGATCAAAATTAACCAAACTCTCTCTCTCTCTCTTTTTCTCCACAAGACAATAAAAACCTCGTCATTATGGGTGGGGCACATCCTATAATCCTAGCTACTTAGGAGGCAGATGCAGAAAACTGAGTTCAAGGCCACCCTCATCAAATTACCTAGCCTGTCTTTAAAACGTAGGGGGTTGATGGTACATTATAGCTCAGTGGTAGAGTGCTTAACGAGCATATAAAGGGTTCTTGGTACTGCAAAAACCAAACCAAATCAAACATGACCCTGTCAGCCTGGCTTACCCTTCATCCCACTGATCCTAACCACATTTGCTCATCAGTCAGTATGTCAGAGCCAGAGGTAAGAGAAAGAACTCTGATTCTGAAAGTCTAAAGCATTAGAAGCCAGTCTTCAGATGCCTTGAATTGCTTCCTTCCATGGTACAGTGACTGTAACTGTGTGGTTCTCAGATAGAAGAACATGAAGTTCCCAATTATAGCAGATTCAAGATATGTGCATGCATACCATCTATTTTGGCAACAAAAAGATGAGCAAAATTTAGGCTTGGGAGATGGCTTGGGGGAGGAGGTGCTTTCCACCCCAGTGAGGACAGCTGGCACTAGATCCTATAACCCATGTAAAAGGACAGGTGAACATAGCAGCCCACCTGTGACCCAGTGCTCAGGAGGCAGAGACAGGGGTGCCTGGGGCAAGCTGACTAGTTAGACTAGCTAGATTAATAAGCTCTGGATACAGTAAGTCCTGTTGTCTCAATACATACAGTGGGAAGTGAGCTCAGCCTCTGAGTTCCACATGTCCATGCACACGTGTATGATGGCCCATGTGTTATCAGCATGCACACACATACCCCAACACCACACACACACATACACACACACACACACACACACACACACACACACACACACACAAAATCTTTCGATATACATTTTTAAAATGTTTTAATAAAGATTTTCATTTAATGCCTTTCATTGAAGCCTAGTATGTATGAGGCTTTCAGTATCAGAGGGAAACAAACAAACAACTCAAAACAAGCTCACCTCCACCAACATGCTAAGGAGAGACTTCTTATTCTCTGCCCACAAGGCAGGGAGTTGAGCTGCACTAGGAAAGTAGCAACAACTTGTGTATACTGTGATTTCAGGGCAATGGCCATAGGTAACACTATAATCCTGAAATGCAAAGTTAAAAATCAAATTAATACATGCAAAAATTAAGTTTTAAAGCAAATGAAATAAGAAGTCGGTGATGTAAGCAGAATTTGTGATGTACTTTACAACAAATATAAGTAAATCACCATGTATAATAATGGGTCACATACAGGACAGTGACTCTGTCTAGTTCATTCTGATGTGGCGGTGCTTCCCACAGAGCCTGTAAGTACAGATGATGCTTATTGGGGTCTGCTGAATGAATGAATGAGTCCACATGGAGAGCCACCTTGCCTCTCAACTCTAGAACTCCACTGTTGCTCCCACAACATTGGAGGTAGAAGATAAGCCTGATCCCTTCAGTCTGAGCCTGTTGTGACAATGGCCATGGCCACAGTAGAGCACTTAGTCAAGTGCAGGAACCACTTGTGCAGACAGATTTCAAACTTTACTTGCCATCAACCTTCCTCAACTGATCTTCACATTTACCGAATATTAACTAACTTTTTAACTGTCTCACATTATCATGAAACTTCATCTTTTTTTGTTACATTTTTCTGATTTTTTGAGATTATAATGTAATTATATCATTTCTCCCTTCTCTTTTCTCCTTTCAAACCCTCCCATATACGCCCCCCCCCCTTGGTCTCTTTCAAGTCCATGACCTCTTTCTTCATTGATTGTTGTTACGTATATTATATATATGTATATATACATTTCTAAATATAACCTGCTCAGTTTATATAATGTTACTAATATGTGTGTTTCCAGGAACAACTACTTGGGATTATAACCAGTTGGTGTGGTATTATATAACCAATGGGTATGCTGTTCCTTGGGGAAAACTGGATCTTCCATTGTAAGTAAGTATTCCTCAGTTGCCTATAGTTTAGCTTTTTTTTTTTTTTTAAACAGGGATTCTCTGTGTAATAACCCTGGCTGTCCTGGAACTCATAGAGATCTGCCTGCCTCTGCCTCCCAGGTGCTGGGATTAAAGCTGTGCACCACCCAGTGTGGTGTCTATAGTTCTTTGTATAGGGCTAAGGCCCTGTGATTGTCCCCCCATCCACTTTAGCATGTTTATTGGAGTTGTCCTTGTTCAGTTCATGTTTGGACAGTCATGTTTGTGAGATTTTTATGGGTGTAGCTTCTGACATTACTAGGAGAAATAATCTTATAGCAAGCTGCTTGAACCTCTGGCTCTTGAAGGCTTGCCCTCTATTCTGTAATGGTTCCTACACCTACAAGAGATGTATTTGTTTTTATAGGTTTGTCTATTGGGATTGGGCTCTGCAGCTCTGCACTTTGATTGGTTGCAGTTTTCTGTAATGGTCTCCATTTGTTGCAAAGAGAAGTTTCATTGATGAGGGCTGAGGACTACACTTATCTGTGGGTATAAGGGCAAATATTTAGAATGTAGTTAGGGGTTGTGCTGGTTTAGTAAAGTGGTAGTTGTAGGGTCTCCTCCAAGATCTTTGGCTAGGTTTCTAGCACTAGGCATGGTTTCCCTTCTGTTGAAACAATCTTAAGTCTGACTAGAGAGCTGTTGAGTACTGCCAACATATTCATGCCACTATTGCATCCTAGTGGTTATTGTGCTAGAAACTTCATCTTGGACTTGTCTCACTATCATCCATAATTTCCAAATTCTTTCAACACTACAAATACCAAAACTAAAACTTTAACACTTGATTCCTTTCCTATTGTTACTACCCCAATTAAAGCCCTTCTTTGATTACTTCTTGTCTAAACTTTCAAAGCCATTCCTTATTAAAACATACTAATGGAAAGCCTCTGAAGATTTTGAGCAAGGATATGGTGACATGATCTAAGTTGTGCTAAGGAGAAATTAAGTTCATAATAGTGGCCTAGGAGAGTTTGAATAAGAGGCTGCAAAGAAGCTGCTTTGGTAGTTTGTTCTAAATGTATGTGATAAGTGCTATAAAATGAATAAACTACAAAATTATGTTAATATAATAAGTTAGATACAAAAAGATTATCACATAAAGTCTTTTTTTTTTATGAGATATTTAGAATGGCAAATTCCGAAACACAGAAGTAGACGGGGGAATAGGGAGTCACTGTTTAACTGGTACAGACACAGTTTGAAGTAATGAAAAAAATTGGAAGTAGACTTGGTAGTGGTTGTACAAGACTGTAAGTATAGTTAATGTTATTAAATTACCCACTTAAGAATGTTTAATGGGAAGATCACTGTCAGATTAATTGAAGGTCTAAGCACGTTGAGAAAGTCACAAGGCAGATGCCAATCACTTCCCTGTCTTAGAAAAAGTACCTGTTCTTTCATTCAATGACTATCATTCTGAAACCCATTCTAACAGTGTTCTCTTAAACATACCTTCATGCTGCCCAGATGACTGTGCCATTCTGCTCCACGCATTACTCCTCCTGGAATGTTCTCATCTATAAAACCATTGGGAGATGTATGATCAGCAAGACCAAAAGGCTCTCTTCTCCCAAAAGCAATCAACCAAAATGAGTAGCATAAGGTAGGGGAAATGCCTACCTGACTTATTTGGGCAACCAGGCTGACCCATGTGCATCGATGGATGATTATTTGCATAAAGAGATGCCAAATGCTTTAAAGTTTCTTTGTTTTCCACTACCAAGAAGAATTTGAAAGTCAGTGAAGAAATTGAAAAGATTTTTGTTCAAGTTCAGTATTGTGCGTTTGAGTCTTCTTCCTCTCCTTCTAGTAAGTTCTGCACCCCTAAGTTTACTGAGTTTACCATAAATAACAACATTGTTTTGTTTAATCTAAGGTAATTATACTTAGGAGCAAACATCTTCCTTACATTAAAAAAATACTAAAAGTGAATTTATACAATGGGTACTATATTAAAATACAATCTTCTTTCAGTTTATTGTATCTCAATTATGGGCAGCTGGGACCTAATAACAATATCCCTTGTAACTGCATTGAAAATAACTCAAATTAGCTGGGCCATGGTGGTGCATACCTTTAATCCTAGCACTCAGGAGGCAGAGACAGGCAGATCTCTGTGAGTTCGAGGACAGCCTAGTCTGCAGAGTGAGTTCCAGGACAGCCAGAGCAACACAGTGAAACCCTGTCTTGAAAACAAACTAAGGAACAAAAAAACAAACAAAAAATGAAAAAGAAACTATGCTATGCTCTGGTGGAGATTCAACAAGCAACTCCTTAGCTTACCAAACTAGCTTACCCACTAGGCAAGGTGTCAAGGATGGGAGGGAGGCTTAGACATTTACCATGATCATTTGGCCCTTTTGATATTCTTAAATTCTGTAAACACTAATTCCTCAAAACATGACTGTAGACCACACTAGGCAGATACAAGTAGATGCTGCAACTCAGCTTGGCCTTCATCAGGCCTTCCCTCTTCAAGCTGCCCCAATGCTTCGACTACAGGATGGACAATTGTCTAGGATGATTATCTGAGCAGACAGCAAATCAAATACTCACTACTGAAAAACACTTAGAAGGGACACTACTTAGTGATTTGGAATTTCCTATAAGGCTTAAATACTACATGTGTGGACTGATATTCAGCATACCTGTCTGGACTGGCTTGTCATAGGGATATGTGACTAGCACAGAACCTCCATCTAAAGCAATGGAAAGGCTGAAATCCTGTTTTTGAATCAAGTTTTCAATGATGGCTTTGGTCTCAGGTTGGGAAGCATTACCTAAAAAAGAGAAAAGGAGAATATCAAGTTCTAAATTTTAGTGAAAGCATAAAGAAATATTCTATCTGAATTCTGTTATAGCTCTGGCTTATAAAACTTGTGGGTAATTGTCTGTCTACATGCTTCCCTAAGCAAAACAGACATGTTTTTACAGGAAGGTTATTCTGAGTTGTGCATAGTTTGAGATAATGTGTGTATATTAGTAACATTATATGTGACAATATGCAAATAGCCTATGTGCATACACATATTCAGAAGGGTAGAAAGAGGGCCTTTGCTACCTCTATATGCATTGCAACACCCCAAAAATCCTGTTTCTTTAAAAAAAAAAAGAAAAACAGAAAACATCAATTTCTTTTGCAAAGTGAAAGAAAAAAAGTTTAAAATATTTTCTGAATGTCTATATTGATTTATACTTCACACCCATAACCTAGACAAGTACTGCCCCATTCCTCATCTACAAAGTGGAGCTGATCAATCTCCTAGTACAGAAAGAGTTATCCCCGAAGTACTTTAATGGCCTAAAACTTAGTCTTACTTGTGAAGTCTGTGTCCAGGTCTTTGCCACGGGCATTTGTTTGCCCATTCTTTGAGGTACACTCTTTCTCTTGTGCTCGCTCTCGTCCATCTGGATTTAGAGATGGTACAACCACAATTCTAGTCCTGTCAACCAACTAAAATGAAAAAGAAATCAAGAGTTCATTAGCTCTATGTGGAACTGACAAGTCCTTCCACAAATACAGTCTTTATTGTTCACTTAATAGTTATTTTAAAAGGCAGAACACTAAAACAAACTAAAATGTAAAATAGAATTCTGATGTGCTTCAGAAAAAATTTTTAAAAAATGAGACAACACTGTATAACAAATGTTCCTCATGACCTTGTGGTGACAAGGAGTCATAGACACACACTAGGCAGGCAAAATCCAGTTTGCTGGCTGCTTTTCTGTGTAAGTTTTTACTGGACTAATCAAGCCTGTTCATTTGGTTAATTCCTTTTGTGCGTTATAATGATAGGTCTGAGTAGCAACAGGATGTCTGCTCCTGAAAAGTATAAATATAGACTTATATACCATCTGACCCTCATAGAAAACAATTGCTGATCACTGACTTAATAATAATGATGGGACTCTTTTCTGGATTAAAAGTGGGAATGTAAAATCTGAAAATACCAATGCCTTTTAAGACTAGGACGTCTTATCTGCCTTGCTATAATTTGTCCTCCAGATGCTCCATAGGCAGTAATACCTACACATGCAACATGACATAATTTCTGAGGTGCTTCACCCTACATATTTCTAACAGTACAACACTTAATCTTCACTTTGACTAGATTTAGAATCACCTCAGGAACAAACCTCTGAACATGCCTGAGGGGGGTGTTTCTAGAAAAGTTTAGCTATGGACCCACCCTCAGTGTGGCACCATCTCATGGACCAGGGTCTTAGAATAGAAAGGAGGAAGCAAGCAGACCACTTCATGTCTGTACTTCCTGACTTTGGACCCACTGTGACTGGCCACCTTCTGCTCCTGAAAACTATAGTCCTTCACCATCACAATGGGTTCTTATCACCTCATAGCAAGAGGCACAATAAATCCTTTCTTCCTAAAAATACAAGAGACCCCATAACCTCTGCCTTTGGAAGATTCTAAGATAATTTATACTTCACCAGAGACCTACTCAACACAATCTCTGGATCCTGTCTGTCACCTCGTCTCTCTTTTGGCAGGGTCTACTGTTTCCCAGATTGGCTTCAAAAGTTTTGTGATTCCTGCTAAAGGATTTTACCTGTAATGTGGTCTCATATTATCTTAAAACCAGCAGGTACAAGTTTAGCTGTTTATAACAACAACCTGGGCTGGGGTATAACTCAGTGGTAGAGCATGTGCGTAACATGTACAAGGCCCCAAGTTTGGTCTGTAGTGTATGAGTGTACAAGCCTAAACCTCAGAGCTTCAGAAGCAGAGGTAGAAGTATTAGGAATTTAAAGCCAACTTGGCTATACAGCAAGTTCAAAGCCAACCTTGGCTGTATAGTAAAGCCTGAAGTTGTGATAGTTTTGTGAGGAGAGGAGGTGAGGGAAACCTAAGGCACTATAAAAGACATATTGATGCCTTCCAGGGATGGAGTCCAAGCATTAGTGTTTCTAAAGGCTCTGAGGTATTTCTAATATACAACCAGAGGTTTCACTATCTTATACTATCTCATCTTAAGAAAAACAAAAACCAAGTGAGACACTTTTGTAACCTTTAAGAAGTTGTTAGTGGGATTTGCTTTCTTGGAGGTGATAAAATAACTTTTTTTATTAAGTCTGATCCCGATCAGTCTCTTTGCGGAAGGAACAGCAGCACTACATGGAATTTCCACAAGATGCATGTGGTGTTTATTTTTCATCACAGGAAAAGAGCACAAACAGCAGGCTGTTGTTAAATACTGGCTTCCAGGGATTTTGTAAATTAGCAAATACCTCTACCTCAGTTTCCACCTGTATGGAATAGAGATTCCCATCCCTGAAAGGATGAATAACAATGTATACAAAATACTGGGCAATAGTCTGCTTGGCACAATCAGTGTATATTCAACAAGTACTAGTTCTTCCCACTTTGCCTAAATTCAATATACTCAGTGCTAATTACTGAGTGTTCTTGCCTCCCTTTCCCTAAAACAACAGAAAGCAGGGCTTCTTAATCATATATGCCTAAGCCACAGATGGCTCAATTAGATAATGCTGTATCAGTTTGTATATAAGTACTTGCAGCTAAGATTCCCAATGATTTTAAATATTACATGAAAAGATAAAAAGAATTATGTCTCTCTATTTTTCAATATATTAATTGAGAGTGGCAGTTCCTCATGTTAGAACACAGAATTGTGGGTAAGGTTAAAAGGAGCCTCTACAGAGCTAGAGAGATGGCTCAGAGGTTAAGAGCACTGGCTGCTCTTCCAGAGGGCCTGAGTTCAATTCCCAGCAACCACATGGTGGTTCACAACCACCTGTAATGAGATCTGGTGTCCTCTTCTGGCCTGCAGGCATACATGCAGGCAGAATACTGTGTATATAATAAATAAATAAAGTAAAAAAAAAAAAAAAAGAACCTCTGCTTAAAGAAGTATAGAATTGACTGCAAACTTTTATGACTCTTTTCTTCTTTGCCTTTCAACATATACAAAGAAATATACTAGAAAGACACCATGAACGCTGAGTATATTCAAAGATTATTCTTTATCTTATAGTAACACAATGTACTACAAGTGCTTCTGTATAAATCTAGTAAGAAATAGAAAATATTTAAATAGTGCCCTGATATCAATGTTCCTGGAGCCTTTGTCTTTAAAGTATGGCAAAATAGGCTATTATCTTACTTGGGTAACAACTGGGTTCTTTTTGTAATTCAGGCAAAGAAATTCTGCCAGAGCCAAAAGCAGTTCAGTTCCAACTGGAGCATTTCCATGGATACCAGCAACAAAACGGATCTTTGGTTCTTCAGGTTCTGATACGTTGGGTTTATTGGAGATTTCAAGAGACCAAATGTGACGATACTCAGCACTCTGTCCCAAACTTTCAGAAGCCAGAAACAAGAAGTCAGTAAGGAATCAACAAAGCACAAAAACCCTTTAAAGTCTTTTAAAGGGTGAGTCAAAGTGTCAGAAAACCCCAGGAGGAACAGTTTTCCTTGAGCAAAGGAAGTGACACAGGAGTAGAACACTGGCAGACTCAGAGCTGTGGCTCTGCCAGGGAGCCCTGCAGACTCAAGTCCTCATGCCGCACCAAACTGCTCTAGTTGGATCTGTCTTCCACACTGAGTCACTTCAATTCTTATTAAGGAAATATGCACTTAATATAGATTCATATATATTAGTATATATTATTTATACATGATAATGTATAAATATATTTTAAATATACCTAATGTAGGAGTCTCTCTTTAAAATCTAAATTAATCTATATGAATAACACATCTTATATACTTTACAATAAATGCAACATCAGTTTGACAGGAAAAGCTAAGTCAATAAAAACAAAATAAATTATCAAATTTCCACTTTCACAAGAGTTTTGAGCTCAAGGCTGGCTTTCCTTACTATGACAGAAATTTACCAGAGCTGGCCAGGAGTTATATATTAGCATTAAATTGAAAAACATTAATAGGATAAAGGTCAATGCTTTTTCATGATGCCATTCAATGAAACTTAGTGCCTGGTGACATACCAACTAAAAAGGCCTGTCCCTACCAATGCAGATATGCTGTATTTTAAGGAAATATCTAATTTTCAGGAGCACCTTGAATTAGAAACCTTTGAATCAAAAACCCTTGAATTAGAAGGGTTAAAAAAATTAAATGAGCTAAATTAGCTAGCAAAATAACATTCAATTTGAGTTTTATTTTAAATAAGGAGGGTAAACTGTATATGGTAGTGTAGTAGATGACTTTAAACCCCATCAAGGCAGAAATGCCAAAAAACAAACAAACAAACAAACAAACAAACAAAAAAACCAGTTGAATAAAGGAAGTTAGTTGGCTCTGCCAAATTATCAGTCTACATCTATAAACATTGTAAATCAGAATTTAAGAAGCAAAAGTTCCTGGAAAAAAATGCATTGAGACAAGTAAGAAAGCAAAAGGCTAAATGATGCTCATTGGGATCCAGAAGGCAGTTCATAAGCTTGTGGCAAAAGTAAACATCCTCCTTACAGCAGGCAAAGCACAACAATCAACTTATTATGGACACTCTGGAGTAATTGTAACAGGGCATGGAGGCCTAGAATGGCACAGTGAACCTGAGCAGAGAAGCCCCAGAAAGGAAGGAAAAGCTTTCTTAATCACATTTGACATGAGCTAGTACTGTGGACTTTCCCAGAGTCACAATCAAACATGTCTTTAAGTGTCGGGTGAGAGACATGAACAGACCAGACAGAGCTCAGCAGTGACAGCAGCCAGGCCTCTTTTCTATTCAACAAAAGCTTTATACATGATGATCCCCTGTGAGTGAGCTCAGCGTTCAAAATGCATCCACTGCCCTCAGCAAAATCAAATAAGCTAAACAACATTTAGTCAATATAAATTTGCAGCTGGAACGTGGCAAGTGTGTGAACTTAGTCAGAGGAAGCATTAGGAAGAGAAACTGTCACTTTCAGAAGGCTCCTGTGCAAGTCTAACCCAGCAAGTAGTCAATGCTCCTGAGACTCACTGTCAGAAAAGTCTCCTTGTGAAATAGTGAGACTGCCACTCTCATACATTCAGCTCCAAAATATCTTTAAGTAAGTCTAAGATCCATTTGGGTGTGGCGAAGCATGGATGAACCCACTTAAAGACAGTGAAAGAAAAACAAGGTGATCCTTACGTGGTAAGATTTGTAATGTGTGGATAGTTCATTACAAGTCCTCTCAGAAACTCGGATAAGTCTTTGTATGAATGATATCGATACAGAGCCAGGTCTGAGGACGAGCCTAACATGAAGCCTTCCAAACCATTCTCAGCAGAAAGGTGTTTGATTAATGCTTCAAACTCTTTCATAGTTGGGTCACTGGCATCATCAGTGCTGGTGCTATCCCCTTTTCCTTTCTTTGATTCATTGTTTGCATCTGTTGATGATCGAACAAGTGTGAAGTTGACCTGAATAGCACCTTCACTCCTGACGGTCACATTCTTGGTAACGGGATTATACCTATAAGAAAGCAGACAAATCAGTCCCATACTTCCTGAATATCTGAGCACTGGGAAATGGAAATGTGTAGAGAATCCAAAGAATAAATGTGATGTAGTTCTCAAAAGAGTCAAGTTTTCAACTTTGAGGCAACTTATTAAAAAAAAATTGACAAAGAACAAATATAGGTAAAAGTATAATATTAATGTGTTTCTAATATTTAAATTAGGATTTCATGGTTGGTAGGGTGGCACACAACTTTAATCTCAGCAAAGGGAGGCAGTTCTCTGTGTTCAAGGACAGCCTGGTTGCTACAGTGAGTTCCCCCACTATGTAGAGAGACCCTGTCTCAAAACAAACAAATAAACATAAAAAATAAAAAAAGATTTCAGTGGTTAAGAGCACTCACTGGTTGCTTTTTTATAGGACCTGGGTGCAAATCCCAGGACCCACATGGCAGCTCATAATCATCAGTAACTCCAGTTCTAGGGATCCAACATCCTCTTCTAGCTGCTGTGGGCAACAGGCATGCACAGACATGCATGCAGGCAAAATAGTCTTAATACTTAAAAGAATAAAAAATTAAAATAAGATTTCAAGTGAAAGTTTGAGCTTATTGCAGATACCCAGGGGCTGCTGGAGTCTGAATCCACTTGTCAGCCTTTAAGGTATATGGGTGAGAAAGCCTGAGGTAGCAACAGAGGACATTCTACCAAAGATGACTCTGCCTGCTTCACAGACACCTTAGTGCTCTAGTTTCTCTAATATTCTTCCCAAGTAGAAGAAAACAGAATAACCTTGTAATGCAATAGTGTGGGCTTCTGACCCTGTTTATGAGCCATTGGATATTTAAAAGCTCTGTTCTTTGTGTGGGGGTGGGGGGGGGGAAGGTACTAACAACCAAGTATTTAGCTTTCCTCCAATGGATTGTCAAACTGGCTTCACAAATATGTAGGCTAGAGAGAAGAGGGAAATGTTCTATGGTAGTGCCTAGTCTCACTAAATCAAGACAAAGAAAACTAGCTGAGTGTGCTGATAAGCCTGCTACCTTAGCACTCCAGAGGAAAGGCAAGAGGACCAGAAATGCAAGGCCAACCTCCAATACCTAAGACGTTTAAAGCCCAAACTGGGCTATACCAGCTCTTGCTTAAAAAACAATAACAAAAGAAAGATTCAGATTATATGAGTCTTTACAATTCTAGGCCACTGGTAAAGGCCTATAAGGAAAATCAGGTTGTTTAAGTTTTCTAAAGAAGAAAACAAAAAGACCATAGGCTCATTTTCTTCTTTTTAATAAATAAACATAGTTGGAAAAGCACTTGAGAGGACTAGGAGTTTTAGGGTCAGCTTGGGGTACATAAGACGCTGTCTTTCAGATAGACTGATAAAAAGACAAACAGGCCCTTACTCAGATCTTGCAATCAGCAGAAATTTCCACTGAAGCAATGATGTAAATGTATCACAAAAAAACGAATGCATGTGAGAGTCCGGAAGCTATAAGAGGGAACAAATATACAACTGTGTTCTCTGTGTGACAATGAACTTACTCAGCAGAGCGTGAGTATTTGCTCCCCTCCCCCCACCCTTCCAACAAGTCCATTCCAGAATTACTAACAGTGAGGGAAATCACAGGGAGAGGGCAGGTGGTCAGAGCAGAGTAAGGCAAAAAACATGACCTCAGAGAGCTATTCGGGGTGCAGTGACACAGGCAGCAAGTGGTCAGTAATGAAACTGCTCTAAACCGCCCTGCATTAAACTCCACATTGCAGGCTCTCTGGGACTTTCTGGAGATAAACTTCTAGAAGGGAGCCGTGTTTGTCTTATTCCCAAGCCCCCAATCTGAAAGCGTTTACCACTTACCCTCGAGCAGATGCTGTGATTTTGTAAGTCCCTGGAACCAAAAGGCGCCAGTAATCTCCAGCTTTGTAAGTAGTCACTGGGTGATCAATTTCAGCAACACTGATGGTAGCATTTAATATGCCCCTACCATCTGTGGCATCCAGGACAAATCCTTTGACACCCTGATGAACCTGGATAAAGAGCAAGAGTACCAGATTTTAAGGGGGAATGATCATTTAATTACTCTGGGAGCTCATATCCAAAATAACAGACTGCTAATAATGCAAACCAAGGAGCTACAGAACTTTGAGGTTCTGAGTAAAGCTAAATGTAAATGCTCATTAAAACATATTTCTCTTTCTGAGAGCAGAGGCCAAGTGAAGAACATAACAACACTTTAAATTTTAGGATATTATGACTACTTCAGAATACAGGATGCTGTAAAAGAAAAAACTCCAGGCCTGTTTTGAATGGACTGCTTTAAAAAGAAAACATGTTCTAAATTAAAAAGGATAAAGAGATACAGTAATCAAAAATACTATATCTTGCTTGTAAATATATCTATAAGATTACATATAGAAATAAACTCAAAAGAAGATTATATACAGGACACACAGAAGTTTGAATATAGACCAGATATTATGTAATATTAGAGAATTTCTGTAATTTTCTTAGGTGAGATAATAGCATTTAGAGATGCCATATAGGAAAATATTTTTAGGAAATAGATGTCCAGGGCTAGAGAGATGGCTCAGCAGTTAAAAGCACTGGTTACTCTTCTATAGGACCTGAGTTCATGTCCCAGCATCCACATGGCAGTGAGCAACTGTCTGCAACTCCATTTCCAGAGGATCTGATGCCCTCTTCTGGCTTCCACAAGCACCAGACATACATACACACATACATACATACATACATACATACATACATACATACATACATTTTCCTTTTCCATATATATATATAATATATATATATATGCAAAACATCCATACATATAAAATTAAAATAAGTAAGTAAATAGATGTCCAGGCATTTAAAGGTAAAATACCCAAACATCTCTAATTTCTACTGAGAAAGTTCAGCCAAAAACGTGCATCTGTATATTTTTTCACATAAATAAAACACAGCAAAATGAGAAAAAATTGTTAAACCTAGGTGTGTTTATTATACCAGTCATATGCCTTCTCTATATATGTCAATACATAACACAGAGTGTTTTTAATATTAGTATACAAACTCAGAAAAAGTATAGAAATGTAACATAACATATTAGGTTATTCTAATTAATCATTCACATATTTCTGAAGACTTTTACCTGTTGGCCACCATGAATATCCAAATAAAAGGAAATGGTTACACATTTGTGTATGTACACACATATACACAAACACACACTCACTCATTAATCAGTCAATGACAACAAGAAAAATACCCTTCCTATCACCTAACAAATGCTGGTTAGTAGCTAATTCATGTCAGCTATTTATAAAGGCAGGATAAAAAGTGACCACTAACAATTACAGCAAATGGTACCTTGTTTAATTACTTTTTTCATTTTCCCTAATCAGACAAACTCATCCAAACCCACAAATTTTCTAGGTAAATATACAAAACAAACTGGAATATAGATACAGAAGAAATATACTAAAACAGATTAGAATTAGAAAAGGTATATTCTGGGGCTGGAGAAATGGCTCAGTGTTTAAGAACACTTGCTTCTCTTGCAGAGGGCCTGGATTTGCTTGGCAGCACTCACATGGCCTCCATGGACACTGCACATGTGGTACACTTACATATATCAAGACACTCATAAACATAAGAATGTTGGCAGACTATAACTTCACCATATAAAAGCTACATGTACACAAAGCTCATCTTGGTCTTGGAAGGAATACATTTGTTCTTGAATAGTTACCTGTTTCATGAACTGAATTAGAGATCTTCGATTTTGTTCCCAGTACTTTGGCAGCTCATTCTCAAATGGATATTTTACACAACCTAATTCAATAGTTACTTCAAAGCAATTTGTCTGTAAATAGTTCCAGTCCTGCATACCACCTAAAGACAAGGAGTTAAAACACATCACTCAGAATACATTTTAAATAGTTTAGACTCTACAAGGTGAGACTCACTCCACGTAAAATGCTAAGTAATCTTGTTTCTGCAATAACTGAAAAACAGTAATAACTCAGGGGAGAGCTCTTTGATGCTGTGTTTTCATAAAGAACTCATTGTACTGCAAACAGTCTTCCCATTAGCACATGACAAATCTATAATGGATTGGAGGCAAAAATCTATACACGGGTCAGGCTATAGTGCAATTATGTCTATGCAGAACTCACAGAGTACCAAATGCAAAACAGTTGAAAAGGTTATTGAAATGTCTTAAATATTTGACCATTTTTCAAAAAACAATAGTTCCTTCTCAAAATTGAGAAAGATAATTAGCAAACAACACCATCCAGGGGAACAGAAAACCCAACCTGTAAGGCCTTGATCTTTACCTGGTACATTATACCAATTAGCTCCATTTGTTATCCCATGAGGAAAATACTCATTAAGGATACTCATATCTTTGCAAGGTCTACCTTGAAACATCTGGGAATTTTCCTGAAAAAGAAAAAAGAATGTTTACTAGTATTTGTTTACATCTACAGAAGAAAAAGGAAGGAAGGAAGGAAGGAAGGAAGGAAGGAAGGAAAGAAGGAAAGTGCTGGATGGATACAGATAAAAATTTTTAAAGGTTACCAAAAGAGGTGTATAAGAGGGTGTCAAGTGGGAGAACATGGTCACACGAAGTTTGAGACTTTTCAATGTATAGTATTCTATGTTAGTTGAACTTTGATTGTGTGAGTTTATTTATTTATTTTTTTTAATAAAAATAAAGGCCACTGAGATGACTCGGTGGTAAAAGTACTTGCTGCTCAAGCCTGGAGACCTGAGTTTGACCCTGGAACCCACATTGACTCCAGAGTTGTCCTCTGACCTCTATATAAGCCATAGCATGCAACCCCCTTCTCCTGTCCCACAACATACACTCACAGACAGTAATAAGAAAAAGAAATTAATCAAAATTAAAGCTGGATGTGGCAACAGCTGTCTATACAAGACCAAGCCAGTCAATATTCCAATACAGAGTGGAGAGACTGTCATTTGTTTTCTTATTTTTTATTTCTTTATTGCCATTTCTCTAACTGTTTTTCTTCTTTTAGGATAACACTCCTGGAAATAGTGTGTCTTAGTGTCTTCAGTATACTGCCTGGCATCTGTCATAAAGTACACGTGCAATCATTTATAGTTCATTGGGGGCAAAAATAAATGCTACATGAATCCAAAAGAGAGAAGATGACTTTTGGCTGGAGAAGAAATTTCCTGAAGAAATGAAATGCTGAAAGATGGCCAAAGCTTCATCTCCCCCCCCCACCCCACCCCCCGCAATAAAAAAAAGGTAAACAATGAGCGAAGAGGAAAATGAAAATGTTCCTATCACCTTGAGAATTAGCCATTTAACTTTAAAATGCATAAACAAGCTCCTAATAGAAACTTCCTATGCCCATTAAAGGCAGATGATCCTATTGCACTCATAAAAACCATTATTTTAGACCACTGTACATGTGCTTGCGGAGGGGGGGGGCTTGTTGTATAGCTCTGACTGCCCTGGAACTCTATGTAGACCAGGCTGGCCTCAAACTCATGGAGATTCTGCTGACTCTACCTCCCAAGTGCTGGGATTAAAGGTGTACCCTTTACCCAGCCATACTTAGCTTTCTGGTTTTCTGCTGAAGGCTGGTGCTACCATCTGCTATCCTTCTGACTCTATCCATGTACATCCATGTCTATCTACCCATGAGATTATACTATACAGATATACTGATATACTGTTCTGCTATTAGACCAATATGGATATTTCAAACATTCATAAAAGTTAAAGGACACTTTAAAGAAATATAATAGATTTTTAGCATTCTTCCTCTATCTTCTAAGATCATCTAGTATGAACCACACTCTGGACACCACTGTTCTAGGCAGTAACTGCCAAAATACTGATTCACTCTCAGAGCTTTAAGGAGCCAGTGAAGGTGGTATATGATACATGAATGACTCAAGGAAGTTTTTTCTAATCACTGATATTTTATGAAGACACCAAAACCACTTCAACAGGCAAAGAATAATCTTTTACAAACGATGTGGAGACATTGAATATCCACATGCCTCAAACTAATTAAAAATAGATCATAAGTCTCAATATAGGAGTTAAAACTATAAGGAAAATAGGAACAAATCTTTGTGATATTTGTTCACTAGATATGACACCAAAAGTATAAATGAAAAAAGATTAGTAAACTGTATTCTATCAGTCTTATTACTCCCTCATCTCATTTTTCATAGTTTAATCAATTGAAGATGTTGCTTTCCATTCTCAGCACATTATCTGAGTTTTATTTAATTTCTGTGGGGTGCCAACTTACAACTTTCCTCTGTTGATTGCCTTTTGGAGTAAGAGTTTCCTTGTTTATATACGTGACCATTCAGTTCCTGATTTTTATAATATATAATATATAAAATTATATAATATAATTTTATATAAAATATCCTGTTTTCTAAGGATATTTTCCTCTAATTCATTTTTATATTATGGGGTTCTTTTACCTGATTCCTAGCTTAATGGTAACCTTTTCTGTCAGTCTAGCAAAGTCTGACATTTGAGTGAGTTGTTTTATTTGTTCACCCTGCTGGGAAGTGTGAAGTTATAAGCTTTGGGTTTTTACTGTACTTTTCTGTCTCATACAACCTACACTTTCCCCCTTTTTTCTTGCTCTTAAACAAATCGCCAGAAGGCACCTTTAATTCTTTCCCTTTTCTTTCTCCTCCAGAAGCTATGAATTTCAAGACTCCCCTTTAACCTGCCTGTGCTCTAAAACTGTGTCTATCCCTTTAGAGAATACTGGATCATTTTGTTTGTTTTTCCAGACAGGGTTTCCTCTATGCAGCCCTGGCTATCCTGGAACTCTATCTGTAGACCAGGATGGCCTCAAACTCACAAAGATCCACCTGCCCCTGCCTCCCTAGTCCTGGGATTAAAGACATGTGCCATCACCACCACCTGGCAATACTGGTCCTTTAAATTGTGTGCTTTTTGAAATCTGTTCTCAGTATTTCAGTGCTCTGGTTTGCTCAGGTATTTGTTTAGTATCTTGGCCTCCATCCTTTGGCCTGCACTTCACTGTTCTGTGCCTCCTCACCCCAGCCTCTACAACCTGTCTTCTTCCACAGGGTTAATCAGCTCTTCCTCACTGCCTAGCCCTCCTGATGAGGCAAAGTGGGATAGGTGCATGACAAGTCATCTTGTTACTGTTTTACATTTCTTTATTTGCAGGTATAGAGGAGGTCAGAGAACACCTTGTGGAAGTTAGTTCTCTCTTTCTACCATTTGGGTCTGCCCCAGGAACTGAACTCAGGTCACCAGGTTCCACAGCCAGCAACTTTGCCTGCTGAGCCATCTTGCGGGCCCTGTTGTTTTTAAGTCAGTTACTTGCATTTTCAAGATTTTTCATAGTACTAACAGGTAGAATTTTGGTAATTATAAAAATTGGCTTATACCAAATGAGGACAAATAGTTAAAGGATGACTACGGATGACTACTACACAGCCATCATTGTCTTTGACCACTCAGAAACCTCCCAAGACCATTCATACTGGAGAAATTCAGAAGCATGAAGATGAGATTCTAGGGAGACAATTTGTAGGTGTTTATTAAGTTTTAGTTAAGCCCTTACTTTTACCTAAGTTGCTTACTGGCCAAGAAAAAGGAGGCTGTGAACAAAGACAGAGAACTTTAATGACCATCTTCCTCTTTGACAACAGAAGTAGACATAAGACTCCAGAGAAGGCAGGATGCAGTGGGATTAAGAAAAGGAAGAGAGGACAGGTAGGACACAAGTAAATCATGGCTGCAAAGACTAAATCTGGATGAATTCACACCAGTTTATGCAGTCCTATTTTTGTTCAATGCAAAGTTACCTACTAAGAATAAGTGAAGTCAGATGAAAGGTTTAGGATCACCACATTAGGAAATGAGTTAGGGGTGTCAAGGAGCAAAATGGGAAACACTGCCACCTATGACAGAGGGCTCAGCTGTGCTTAGTGAGGGAAAGCTGACTGTAGCTGACTGCCACAGCTGTGTGGCTATTCTAGGTTATATGTGTAATAATAATGGGATGGAGGAGAAAGTTGGTGGTTGTACTGGTTGTTTTTTGTCAACCCAACATAAACATAGACACATCTGGGAAGAGGAACTCCATTTGAGAACATGCCTCAAGTAAGGGCTTATCTAAATCCTAATAAACCTGCTTTCCCAATATCCAGCCTTCTGTAGTTATCACTGTCTTCATTTGGTTTGTATAGCTGTGATAAAAGCCCTTACTTTTGGTGATTGTGCTGGTTGTTTTTGTTTTTTGTTTGTTTGTTTTGTCAATGCAACATGGACATATCAGGAAAGAGAAACTCCAGTTGAGAACATGCCAAAGTAAGGGCTTACCTAAACCTTAATAAATACCCACAGAGCTATCTCCCTGGAATTTCATCTTCATGCTTCTGAATTTCTCCAGTATGAACAGGCAAGTCTATAGGGCATTTTTGTTGTTAATGATTGAAGTAGGAGGGTCTATACTATGGTGGGTAGTGATGCCACAAGGGTAGGTGGTCCTGGATGCTATAAGAAAGCAGGTTGAGCAAGCCATGAGGAGCAACCCAGTAAGCACCATTTCCCCGTGGCTTCTACTTCAGCTCCAACCTCCAGGTTCTTTCCTTAACTTCCCTCAATGGACTGTGAACCAGGATATGCAAGCCAAACAAGCCATCTCCTCCCTGAGTTGCTTTTGGTCATGGTCTTTATCACAGCTATAGAAACTAAATGAAGATTGTGTTAACTACTGAAGATAGTGTTAACTACTGAAGACTGGATATGGGAAAGTATGTCAAAGGGTGTGCAAGAGCCTTAGAAATACCACTGAAAGATATAGCAATAGGTCTAGGCTAAGGGGAAAAATAAATAAAAATGTTTAATAGTCTAAGGAAATAAAATTAAGGTAAAGAATTGTTGGAGCAGGCACGGTGGTGCACACCTTTACTCCCAGCACTAGGAAGGCAGAGGCAGGCAGATATCTGTGAGTTCAAGGCCAGCCTGGTCTACAAAGTTAAGTTCCAAGACAGCCAAGGCTGTTACATAGAGAAACCCTGTCTCAAAACAAAACAAAGCAAAAAAAGCTAAGTCACAGTGAATGAATGCAGAGTATGATGGGAATATGTGAAAAATATGATCAATTAATTTTGATTTTGATAGATGTATAATATACATTCTTCCTACTGTATGCATGTACCCCCAGATATGTCATACCCAAATAAAAGGTAACAATTCTTTAAGGGAAAATCAACAGCTTCATTCTTTTATTAGTGACTCTGAACATGAATCTCACAAGGTTCATTTGCAGAGAGGGAGTGAGTCTGAAGGTGGAATGATAAAAGGTTGTAATTAGAGAGCACAGAGTTGCAGTAATAACCTTTTTGATCCATAACCAATAAAATTACAGTATCAGTAGACCAAAATTGGAGACTGCAACACCTACTACTCAAGTCCCAACATGGATTTTTCTTATACACACACACACACCAAAAAAATGAAAAACAACAAAAAACCTCTTTTGTGTGTTTAGTGGAAGTGTATATGGTTAAAAATGTCAGTGTAGCCAGGTATTGGTGGCACACACCTTTAATCCCAGCACTCAAGAGACAGAGGCAGGCAGATCTCTGTGAGTTTGAGGCCAGCCTGGTCTACAGAGCTAGTTCCAGAACAGGCTCCAAAGCAATACAGAGAAACCCTGTCTCAAAAAACCAAATAAACCAAAAAAAAAAAAAAAAAAAAAAAAAAAAAAAAAGAACTCAGTGTAATTGATCATACAAGTGTGTATGGAGATTGAAGAGTGTTCTCTCCTATCATTATCAATCTTAACTTTTGAGCTTGGAGCTCATGGATTCATCTAGGCTAGCCAGGGAGCTCCAGGAGTCTTCCTGTCTGGGGTTATATAGATGTGTCTCTGTGACTAGCTTTCTATGTACTGCCAAGGACCTGAACTCAAGTCATCATGCTTGTTACTAACTGAACAGCTTTCCCAATCATTATCTTAATATTTCTAATTGGAAAAGTAATTGTGTTCATTAAGGAAGTTTAGAAAACATAGGACCTTCTGTTTACCCTTTTTTGTGGTAAACTTTACCTTAAAGAGTCACTGGTGAGTTTTTGTTTTGTCTTTTGAGCCAAGATCTCCTAGCCCAAACTGACTTCGAGCTTGCTGTCTACCCAGAGTGTCTTCTAACTCAAGATCCTTCTGCCTCATCATCCACCTCCCAAGGGCTGGGATTCAGGCATGCTCCACTATGGCTAGTTGGCAGTATTTTACACAGGGAGCCAGATAGTCAAACTGCAGGCTTAACAGACCTAAAGGTCTCTGTTACAAGTATTCAACTCCTTTCATCTACTGAGTCTGGTAATTAGACTGACATGTTTTCAAATGTTCAAAGAGAAAACAACCACAGACTATTTGTAAAGTATGGTTGTGGCTATATGGCAATAAAATTTAACTTCTGAAAACAAAATTTAGTTGTAGAAATGTAATTCATCAATTCTTCTGCTTTAGCATACTTTACTGGGCTTATAAAATAAATATGCATCAAATGAAGTATTCTAGTATCATTTATGTTTCAGGTACTAAGTTAAAAACCATAGATGAATAAACACTTGCAAGAAAAGATATGGATAAAATGATTTACTTCATGGCTCACTGTATCACAGTACAATTTCCATGACAAGATTGATTTTTTTTTCCTTTTCTCTTTTTTTTTCTCTTAAATTTTATTTTATTTTGTTGGGAAGGTTGCAAGGGCACAGGGTATATATAAAGGGACAGGAAAATTAATGGGATGGAGATACATGATGTGAGAGACACAAAGAATAAATAAAAAGGAGACAAAAAACAAAAAACCATAGATGAAAGTACATTACTTGAGTTTAAAAGCTAATGGAGAAAGAGATATAAATGATCAAAAGTGAGATGAGAAATAGGAAAAAGAGGAAAGGAAAAAAAAAAAAAAAGCAAAGAGTCATAGCTGTAAGAGTACTTGACCTAAATACATTTTTTAAAGTTTATTATTATTATTATTATCATTATCATTTTGATTTTCTCTCTATTTCTCTCTCTCTCTCTCTCTCTCTCTCTGTGTGTGTGTGTGTGTGTGTGTGTGTGTGTGTGTGTGTGTGTGTCTAGGTTTGGCTATCCTGGAACTTGCTCTGTAGACCAGGCCGGCCTGGAACTCATAGAGATCCACCTGTCTCTGCCTCCCAAGAGCTGGGATTAAAGGTGTGTGCCACCACAGCCTAAATGAATGCTTCATTTTAAGGCGGTTTTTTACTGAATTAACTCTCTAGCATCTGCTGTTCAAACACAAACATACCTTGGAATAAGAAAGTGCTATTTGTTGAAACACAGCATCATCTGGTGATTTACTGTATGTAGCAACTCCTTGTTCATTATCATCAAAAGGATAGTTAACCACCAAAGAACCTATAAGGGAAACAGAAAAATGCACCATTAACTGTTTTAAATGGATCAGTAACACAAAACAAGCTTTTCACAGTACAGTCAGAACTGGATGGTGTTGTATAACTTTGACAAGACATGGAACCAACAAAGAGGCAAGCCTTCTGACACACCTGTGAAGTATTATTTAGACTAGGTTAGTCTTCAAGGATTATCTAGATTATGTTGATTATACCAGGAAGAGCCACTCAAAAGTAGCACTACTCCCTGGGGTCTACTGCCCAGGAAGCTAGCTGAGCTCAAGCACTAACCATGTTCCACTTTGTAAATGAAAGTTTGCCTCAAACTTCTGCCCTGCCAGGATGGACTGTACCCTGGAACTGTGAGCTGCGGTAAATCCTTTCTCCCTTAGGTAGAGTTTGTCAGGGTGCCTTATCACAATAGAAAAAGTAACACAGAAGGAAGATCCATGAAGTTTGTCAAGGCCAATTATCTTAATATAAAGGAAACATAAAGATGAGGGATGTGGCTCCATGACAGAGGGCTTGTCTAGCATGCATAAGGCCTTGGCACCAATCATCAAACCTATTAAAAAGAAAAAGAAAGACAACAACAACAAAAAGTTCCACTACTTTCCCCAGCGAAAATCAAAGTGAGCAAGTGGGAAAGTGGGAAAATGATACCCATGCACAAAATCTAAAGGCTCTCTTAACCAAATAGGTTGTAAAAGAACTTGCAATTAAAAAATATCACATTGTGAATTAACCAGACCCAAAGTCTACCCAGCTCAATGAACATTCCACAGCCATTATGGAGCTATGGAGCTTCACACTGGATTTTAGTGACTGTGTAAAGTACTTTGATGATATTCAAGGTCATAAAAACTGGGTGAACATTGACACTTTTTCATTAATACATTTTAAAGGCTCTGGAATTTTTAAAATAAGAACAGACTCTTAAGGTACAATTAAGTCATCCCTCATTTTGGACATGGAATCTAAAACAGGTTAAGCAACTTATAGATAACAGAGCCAGCCTGATCCACACACACACACACACACACACACACACACACACACACACACACACACACAAAAAAAAAACTCTACAATTTTTTTTTATAGTTTAATTATTCCATTGGAGTTATATCGTTGACTCAAGGTAAAGAAAGTGATGCTTTCATACACAAAAAGGTCTTTGACTGCTCCCATGCTTTACACAGAGGAAAATAGTAACGGTGGGTCTCAGGGAAAGCTTTGAGCTACATGTGTCTTTCCTGCTCTCTTGTGTCCACTCCTTATGCTTTCTACTGCATCAACATGCATGTGTGGAAGTCAGAAGACAATGTCCTGGAGTAGGTTCATACCTTCCACTATGTGGGTTCATGGGATGAATCCTGGCATGTGCCCATGTCTGCTGGGCCATCTCTCTGGCCTGATACTTGTACTCTTATTCACATAATTCTAGCTGGACATTATATTTTATTTTGAGACAAGTTCTCATGCAGACCAGGCTGCCTTGAACTAGCTATGTAGCTGAGGATGACCTTGAATTCCTGATCCTCCAGCTTCCCTTCCCTGAGTGCTAGGATTACAGGTTTATAGGGTGCTACTCTAGGCAGGCACTCTACCAGTTCAGATACATACCTATGATGTTTTTCTTAATACTGACATTTTCTGTTCAACTGACTCATTCCTCATGACTCATATTGACATATAGTCCCAAACACTCAATAAGAATGAAGTCATCATGACGCAGTTATGCAGCTATATGTGTATGTGTGTGTATGTATGTATGTATGTATGTATATATATATATATATATATATATATATATATATGCACAAACGCATGTGTGCAAACTCAAACACACACAGACAGACATACAGACAGACAGAGTGCACAAGTGGAAGATAAGAGAATGTCAAAACCTATATTTAGATAAAAGAGTTTATAAGACTTTAGGAGAGAAAAAGACTGAACATTTAGTGTTTTGTTTTTATGATGACAAAGTGCATGTAACAGTACAACAAACATGAAACACTTGAAGAACTATTAGAGAAAGGGGAGCATGTGATAGAGAAAGAAGAGCAAGAAAATGGAAGGAAGGATGGTAGGAAGGGGAAAGAAGGGAGAGAGAGGGGGAGATGGCTTAGTGGCAGAAAAGCACTTTTGGGCAAATCCACAACCTGAATTAAATCCTCAAATCCAGTGGAAGGAAGGAAGTAACTTCTGAAAGGTGTTCTGACCTCCACACACATGCCATGCCATGCACACATGTATACACACACACATAATACACCATACATAGACAATAATAAATAACACTAAAATTAAAATGAGAAAAGGTGGAAGATGAGGGAAGCTTGGCTTGCTGTTTGCCTGGAATCCCAGCACTAAGGAGGCAGAGGCAGGAGGAGGATCCTTGAAAGGCAAGGCCACTATGGTCTGCACAGTGAGCTCCAGATCTGCCTGGGTCCTTGGTGAGGACCTGCCTAAAACAATAACAACAACAACAAAGGAAAGATAGAAAGGGTGTGTGCAGAGGGCACAGCCAGGAAGGACACTGACCTAAAGAGTAAGGAGGAAAGGCTTTAACTGTTCTGTCACCGAATCAGTAATAGAATACTCAGCTGAAGCTAGCCTAGGAGTATAAGCAGATAGAATTTCAGCAGGATTTTCAAATGTTTTCAACAAGAACTACTTAGGCCATACAGAGCTGCCGTACCTCCATGTAGATTGGCTGACAGCACAAATGGATAGGACTTCATCCAGCTCATCACAGCGATGGTCTCTGGTTGGGTAGGATCTGTGATTGTAACAAACTGATCTGGGAAGTTCCGGTTTAGGTCAAAGTTGTTACTGTTGTTTCTGCCAACTACACCTACTGAGTCTCCTGCAGGATAAAGAATTAAAATTTAAGATATGTTTTACTACATTTTAATGCCACATACAACTTCAGCTATCTTAGAGTGTAAGCACATCAGGCCCATTACTACCAAATCCCACTGTGAGTAAAAAGTATCTTTTTTTTTTTCATTATCTATTTCTAAAAAAAAAAAAAAAAAAAAAAATCTCTTCTAGATCTTTAAAGCAAATAGGTTAAGTCATTACTCTTTAGCATCTGATCTCTGCTTATCCATTGAGAGAGAAAAAAATCCAAATTACACAAAGGATACAAAAGCATTGCTCAATTGTTAATAATAAACACACAGCCATAAGCAACCCCTTGAGTTGTTGGGGCTTCATCATGAAAAATCAGACCAACAAAAAGGAAATTGTGGTGTACTGACATTAAAAGGATCACAAAAAGGTAAAAGTAGAGAACATTGTTGGATATTTAATCCAATAGAGGAAAAAGGTTCAACTCAAGCTTAACTGTGTAGATTCTTAATATGAACAGACCCTAATTGCTGTCATTATAACAATAATAACTACAAGTGAGGAAAAGCCAATTGAGGGCTCCCTATCGGGACCTGGCTCTCCTTTTCAGAAGGGTCAGAGGTGTGTGTGTTTGGGGAGGGGGGGTCTTGATGCTGGCAACAGCAAGGAGCATGAGCACACTAAGATCAACCTGAGCCTGTCTATGTGAGAGCCATGTGTGAGCTCTCCATCTTGTGTCCGCACATCCACTCTGCAGAGCCTATTCCATTCCCAGGGAGCACAGCTAGGTGCAGCTGTGGAGAGTGAAGGCTCACACCCAAACATATGGCTTGGATATCCTTCAAGTTGGTTACTGAGAGACTGTAAAGACAGAACAGCTCTGCAAAGCTGTCCTTTTATAAAAGAAGAAGAAAAAGCTTTTCTACCTGACACCCACTTTGTGCCACCATTGTCTTATATAGAAGAGACTGGGGTCTGACACCTGGGCCAGAGATGATCACAGGTAGTTGTCTCCTAGCAGACTTATCTGCCTGACAAAACAACCCTTGCTGACTGTGAACATTCTCTCCTCAACCTTCCACAGCCCTTGTCACCCCCCACTCAACCAAACCCAAGCCCCTAACTTAGGTTTATATAAACCTCAACTGCTTAGTTTTCCTTTGAAACTTATACCTGTATGAATATCATGTTTCTATATATAAATAAATTTAATTTTCTCTTTTAAGCTATCCACTGTCAGCTCATTCTAGATGAAAATCATCAAACCTTTAAAAGGAAAAAAAATTTTTTTTAAAGTTCCGTATGGAACCATGGGTTGGAAAAGATGGATTCTTACTCTTTTAGGGTTCTGTAGAAGGTGGCCTGTGTAAATCTGTCCTCCCAGCCCATTTAGCATTGCCTCAGGAGAGATGGGCTTGCCCAGGGGAGGCAGGGAAAGAAAAAGCAGTAACTTAGCAGGCATGGAATATGGATGAGTACGGAAGCTGCTGGCTTCAAATTCTATTTGGTTTGATTTTTCCAATGATAAAGTAAGGCTACAAATATAATACTTTAATAAGAACTGTTAAAAATGAAACAATTTATAAAAATCTTCCATTATTTTTAATAAATAATGGTTAATATTGCTTGTCAACTTGACTAGATCAAGACTCCTACCAGATTGGTAAAGCACACTGTGGGGTGTGCCTTCAAGGGTGTTTTACATACATGGAATGGTATGATGGAAAAAGACTAGCCCTGAACATGTGTGCTACTGTCCAATTGGCTGGGGGAACCAGAAAGAACAAAACACATGGAGGAAGCCAGCTAGCACCTGCCAGCTTCGTTCTTCCTGAGAAGCGTACCCACAGCTGCTGCTGCAGTCACCCATGGACCTCAGACTCTAGCTTGAACTTCAAGCCTTTCAACAGGGACTCATATCAGTGACTCCAGGCAGCTGCCAGGGCTTCAGCCTTGGACTGAATCATGAATCATTGGTTACTTGCTTTGAGGCTTCCAGCTTCTTGTTCTTAACAGCCATCAAGTTCTCTGGTTCTCCAACATATATGGTCATTGTTGAACTTCTAATCATACAAGTCAGTCTAACACGAATCCCTTTTTATGGTTACACACACACACACACACACACACACACACACACACACACACACACACACATCTCTATCAGTTCTGTTCTTCTAGAGAACCTTGATGAAGACAAATAATCACTACAGAAATGCAAAACCAAACAAGAACCTCACACGTTGGTTAAGAGCTAGAATACCTGTTAGGACCCTGGGCATGCTCATTAAAAAGCTAGGCACTAAATGTGCATCTTCAACTCCAGCACTAGGGGGCGGAGTTAAACAGATCTCTGGAGATCACTGACCAGCAAGTTGATCTGCATCCAATTTCAGGTTCTCAAAAATAAGGAATATAGCAATTGAATAAGAACCCAACATCATGATACCTCTGCCTTCCACACACATACTCAAATACATATACCACACACACACACACACACACACACACACACTATTTAACATATGCTTCATCACATAACGAAAAGTCTGCCCTGTTGTCTAAGTAAATAAAAGCTAAAGCCACTCACAAATCATAAAGATAAAAAGTTCACTGTCTTCTCTATTCCCAAATGAGTATTCTGTCTAACAATCACCAGATTAGGCTTTAATAATCAGCTCTGCTTTACCTTCCTGGGACTTTTCATACCCATCAGGATTCATGGATGGCATAAGGTGAATTCTAGTGCTGCGAACCAAATCAGTTACTTCAGGGTCTGTTCCAAAGTTCTTGCAAAGGTATTCGATGAGATTTAATAGCAGTTCTCTTCCAACCACTTCGTTTCCATGCATATTTCCAATATACTTAAATTCTGGTTCCCCTGAAAACAAATAATTACATGGAAGACTTTTTTTCCTCTTCAGTTAACATAAAGTTTATTTTTCTCCCTACTATATATACATATAAATCATAAATCAAAATATTAAGTAAACATGTATTAGCCAACATCAAGAAAAATCTACATAAACATATTATAGCTTCCTTACCAGAATATATGTCTGAGCAGGCACATAGTATATATTTGCATATCATATATATATGGAGAGAGAGAGAGATGTCTTTCTAATACACATATATGCATAGCTACATGCCAAACTGAACACAGCTGAATGAAACCAAACTATGAACACACTAATACCATACAAATGTAGATTACCAAATGGGTTTTCTCTTCTGGGAACATTTAGGTCTATGTTCTTTTTTGACTATGTGTTCTTAATTAAAGTTACACACTGTACAGATGACATTTCTGAACAAAGCACAGTGACACAACACTAGTTTTGAGAGGGACCACAGAAACCATGTGTTAGGCCATCCAATTACCTGGTTCATGGACACCTGGGTTATCAGATATTTCCATCACATACAATTCTCTTGACTCCACTGACTTTCCCAGCGAATAAAGATGAGTGATATTAGGATATTCGTTGGCAAATCTTCTCAAGAAGATTTCCATATCAGGGAAATGGTGGTGGTGAAAGTCTTTAGGCTGAATTGGCTGATGGGAGGGTGATGTTCCAGGAGGAATATTAGGGACAGCAACTGTGGCAGGAGTTGCTACAGCCTCAGTTGAATCAGGAAGTACTGAAGTCACAGTTGGTCGAAGGGAAAAATCCATCTCTGTGGCTGGTCCCTCTTTCACCATTATATTATTAATAGTCAATGGCATATACCTTAAAAAATCAGAAATGGAGGTGGCATGGAGTTAAGAAACACAGTGCTTTAGCACTACAAAAACACAATGACCTTCTTTTCATACTCCTAAACTTAATGATCTAACAAAACTCAAAACTAAGACAACTGTATACATTTAGCCAATAGGATGTTATTCCACAGGAGATATTAAGTCTTTAAAGAGTTATTTCTCTCACAAAGCTTTCCAAGTATCTCACACTAGAATTTAAGTTGCTATGATATTCAAAGGGACAGACAAGCTAATTACCCCATTTAACTGCTTCCATGATGTTCAAAGGCAGGTGCTATACATCTTTGCAATGCCGTATCAGACTAGCATTCCCACTTTCCTCCCATTACAAAAGCTCAGAATTAAAGGTTAGCAATAAAATCTCCATGAAGTGCATGTGCAGTAAAGTTTGCACAGGTGAAAAAACACTGTTTTAAAGTATCAAAAAGCTGCAAAGACAGGCCTTCAAATTCTATCTACAGAGCCCTGGACTGCTTCTACTCAGATTCAGTTAGCTAAGGCAGTGCTCCCAACAGCCTGTGAGGCTTTTACAATTGTTCCTCCTCCCATGGTTACAATTATATTTCACACTGTTGGACTATGAGACAAAACACTCCACGATAATACTATCTCATTATTAAAGGCCCAAAAATGTCAGAAAACAAGGAAGAACAGAAGCCACATCTGATGAGTAGCATTTAGACGGTCCTTCTGTCTTGCATCTAAAGAGAGGCTTGCTATTGTAATTAAGAGTATAGTTTAAAACTTTTACCCAGTTGAAACTGCTGTAAGATTGTAAATTCCAGGAATGAGTAATCTATGGAAATCACCAAATCTTCCAGTTGTGATATTATGATTAATACCAGCCACTGAGATGGTTGCATTCTCTAACCCAGCTCCTGTTACTGAATCTTTAACAAATCCTTTAATTCCAATGTGGACCTAGAAGACAAAAATCAAAACTCAGAAGCAATCAGCTTGGTGCTAGAGTTTTTAAACAGTATGACTATTATATTAGTTTCTAATTTTTCTTTTTCTTTTTGGGACAGGATCTCATTATGTAGCTCTGGCTGGCCTGGAACTCTTTATAGAGACCAGGCTGGCCTCAAACTCAGAGAGATCCACCTTCAACTGCCTCTGGAGTGCTGGGATTAAAGGTGTGCACCACCATGTCCAGGAGCCAAACTATTTCTTAAACCCTTGAGGTTGAAACAAAATATAGACCAAATACTAAAGTAAAAATTCTTTTTATTTTAAAGAATTTTTTAAAAATTTTGTGTGTGGGGAGGTGGCCTGCATGTATGTATATGCACTATAGAGGTCAGAAAAAGATGTTGGATCCCTTGGAACTTGAATTAACTCAAATTACAGTTGGTTGTAAGCTATCATGTTGATGCTGGGAACCAAACCTAGGTCCTCTACAAGAACAGCCATTGCTCTTAACCACTGAGCCATCTTGACAACCCCATCACTAAATTCTTAAATTTAAATTGTAAAAATCTCCATAGTCCTGAAGTGCTTTTGAAGTTCTTGCTCTTTGAAGCTAAGGTTCTAATTTTCTCTCCTAACTATGATTTCTGGCATAGTAAACAGTTGCATGAGTTTTTCTGATAATTACATTAAACTGATGTCTACAGTTTATATAATGGTAAAGGGTCTCTAGCAAATATGAAAAAATTACATTGTCAACCTGCTAGCTCAAATTTATAGGGTTTTCTTGGTACCAGGAATTGAAATTGGAGCTTCATTCATGCCAAACACTCCTTCTACTACTGAGCTATACCACAATACAAACTTGGCTAATTATTTCCATTTGTAAAAATGTTTTAAGGGTGACAAAGGAAGCTTCCATGTAGCACGGAGCTAGGGTTGGACATGGGGATGGAAAAGGTGGATCCTGGCATACTCTAATAGATTATAAATTAATAACTTCTAGAGATAATCTACAATCTTAAAACACATAAGATAAAGAATGCCCTATTTAGATTGTTATCCATGTGCATTCAAATTTCTCCCATATTTAATCTATTATTTCTAAATCCCAACCTTCTAGGCAGCAATTTTTACCTTTTCAATCAATGTGATCAAAGACTCACGATTATTCTCCCATTCTTGTCGAAGCTGAGAAGCAGGTGGGTACTTGCAACAAGACAGTTCTAATGTGATCTCAAAACAGTTGGCCCACACATAATTGTAATCTTGCATACCACCTGCAAAGTGAAGGTAAAACAGGTTTGTTTGCAAAAGGAAATGAGTTCCACCCTCCAAAGACTGAAGAAATCACCCAGTTTTTTTCCTTGTATACATTTTTGTTTCCATTAAGTTGTTTGAAATTGAAAGAAGGCTCTTCAATTACATAAACTAAGAAGGAAGGTTTATATACAATGGGAAGGAATTCCTTACTTACACACACACACACACACACACACACACACACACACACCCAAACACATACACGCATATATACACACATGAGGAATACATTTAACTGGTAGGATGAGCATCTATGATTTAATCTATGATTAAATCAGCTAATAACAACAGTTTTAGTTGCTTACAGTGTCAGACCAGCTCTGTTTTGTATATTCACAATATTTCAAGCAGTTGTATAACATAGGTATTATTATCTTTCTCATTTTACATATGTGAGAGATCAGGCACAAAGATATTATCATTTAAAATTCAATGACACGGTGAAGAAAGAGGTCACAATCTCTTAAAGCTATGAAGGACATTCCTGCTAACACATCATTAAGCACCTACTATTCTAGCTGTATTCCCTTTCTCAAGAAGGTGGAAAGAGAAAAATACTCCATCTAGGGTGGTGCAGTTACATAAATTAGGAAAAAAAAATAAAAGAATAAACTCTTTAAAAATGTGCTCACTGGGAGACAGAACTGAAAGAATAATCACCCACCCTCCCCACTTTACACCTACATAAGCCCACACACTCATTCTGCACAAAGCGTTTTACAATATCATTTCTGCTGCTTGATTTTCTCACATCTTGTTTTAAGAGGATGAGTAGAGTGGAGAAGGAGGGAGGCATAACTTCTCTATAAGCTCACCTTGCTTCTACAATGTGTGTAGGCAAATATGTACAGAACAAGAAGCCTTCCACCTTTTTTTGCATGTGAAACAGCCCTGACCTTAGTCATTTCCATTATCCCTGAGAAAGATACATCAAAGTTCAAGCTTGCTGAGTCAATACCTAGAACTCATCAAAATCCTCCTAGGCACTTGTCCCAGGCAAAGCAGGCATCCTCTCTCAACTGTCCCCAGAGAGCTTGTCTCCATCCCCTGGCAACACACAATACAAATGTGCATTTTGACAGTTAATCTTCCTCTAACCTGTGGGAGGGGTTGGATATCAGATACCCTACATATCAGGTATTTATTTACATTGTGTCTCATAACCATAACAAAATTACAGTAATAAAGTAGCAAAAAGTAATTTTATGGTAGGGGATCACCACATGAGGAACTGCATTAAAGGGTCTCAGCATTAGGAAGACTGAGAAATACTGTCTTAGATGATAAATACAGGATCCTCCAGTGCTCAAGAAGGGGAAGACACAGTTCCTTTCATACACTCAGCACCAAGAATTATCGTTGAGTGACAGCTCTTCTTGCCCTTGCAGGCTGAGAACCTTGGGCATTATTAACATGATATTTATTTGCAAAATGTGAGCATTAGGATCACAAAGGACTTCCAACCCTCAGACTCTACGGTGTTCAAGAATGCATGCTAGTCTGATTATACAGGAAAGGTGACAAGAGAACACTTGGAAGAGACAAACAATTTGAAATTTGTCTATAGAGAAGTCAGTGTCACTATGTAGTTTACTATCAAAGAGCAGGACTTACCCTACAGTAAAGAAAAGCAAGTAACACAATACATGACACAATTCTGACAACACAATAAACAAGTCTGAAGTGTTAGCTCATTCCTGCTGAGGCTGCATCATGTGCTTTGAGAAAATCTGCTCCATTTCACCAGCGTAATTACAGACTAAATATTAGCAGCAAAAAGCTAGGTTTAGGGTAAAGAAAACTCCTAATAAAAGAAACTGAGAAAAGAACTTTAAAAAGAATTAGAGGTTTGTAATGCCAATAAAAGCCAGTTATAATAAGAAATACAAAGAAGGAAACTGGACATATGCAATCTGCTCTCAGGATACATAAAGCTATCAATAGACTCATGTCCATCCATCCATGTTAATCAAATGCTTGTAAACAAGGACAAGTTTTTAAAATTAATTTTAAGGTTAGCATACATTTATTTTATTTTTAAATCATTTTGAGGTGCTGGGAGATGAATCTGGGACCTCCATGAATAGACAAGTACACCATGGCTCAGTTAGATCCCCAGCAGGGGCTAATTCTTTGTTCACAATCTAGAGGTGACAACTATAGCCATAAAAGAGAAATATAAGAATGATTATAGAGGTTACATGATAGCTACCCAACAATGTGAATATACTTAATGCCAATGAACTGCACAACTAAAATTATTAAAATGTGCTGTGGAATACTCCCTTTGTACATTGTAAAGATTTGTTACTCAAATTGGTTTAATAAAACACTGGTTGACTGGTAGTCAGGCAAAAAGTATAGGCAGGACAGCCAAACCGAGAATGCAAAAAGAAAGAAGGTCAGAGTCAGAGGAGTTGCCAGCAGATACAGCAAAGCAAGATGGGCATGCCCCACTGAGGAAAGGTACCAAGCCACATGGCAGAATGTAGATAAGAAATATGAGTTAATTTAAGTGTAAGAGTTAACTATTAACAAGCCTAAGCTACCAGCAGAGTTTTTATAAAGAATCTTAAATCTCCATGTTGGCAGGCAGTCAGGGAAACATTCACCTACAAAAAAAAAAAAAAATGGTTGCTTTTATAATATGTATGTTTTGTCATTATTTTAAAAAAACCAGCAATGGAGAGATTATGGGCCTATGCTGGTAGTTTCAATTTTAGGATTGAGGAGAGACCTACAAGGCTTCTTGGGAAGTGTTCTGTTACTACAGTTTTTATAGTTAGATCTTAAGGGAAAGATAGGTAACTGAGTCAGAAAAGGGGTCTCACAGAATCAGAAGAATTGGTGGAAATGGAAATATAAAACTGTGGGGAAGGGTCTGGGATATGTTGGTTGAACAGTGACTAGTAAGCTACAAGATGAACAGGAACATGGGGATTCATGAGAGATCAGGCTGGAGAGGGAGTGGGTCTAAAGGGCCTGGGGAACAGAGGCTGCATTAAAAGACTGTTTTGCTTGTATTGAACAGAAAAGTGGCATCAGGAATGGAAGGCACAATGGTCCAGAAAAGAGGAATAGGGAGAGAAAAGGGGAAGAATCAAGAGAGAAGAGGATGGAGAAGATAAAAAGCCTATTTTGGCACTTTTAACAATGGTTCAAGTCAAAAGTAATTTGACCTAAAGGTAGTGGCAAATGGATGGGAAGGATGTAAGACGAAATACTGACAGGGTCTGCTGAAAAGTGGGAGGTGAAGGAGAGAAGAGAATCAGAAAGGACCTCAGGTCTGACAGCTGAGCTATGGACAGGAGTATGGCAGAGTGGGTGGAGGGGTGTGACAATCTAGGTTTGGAGCAGACTAAATCTGAGTTCTGGTAGCAATAGAAGACTTAGATAGAAATGTCCAAAAAAAGAATTTTTTTTTAAATTTAAATTTAAGGCTTTTAGAATGAGCAGAACTTTCTTAAGAAATGATCTGTGGTTGTTTGAAAGAAAATTGACACCAACAGCTCATGTTCTGGAAGCTTAGTGCACAGTGTGGTGAAGTTACAGTGACTGAGTCTTCAAGAGGTAAAGTCTAATAAAAAGGAATAAGGTCCCTGGGGCACTGACCTTGGGAGGGATTAACACGGTTCTGGATGAATCCCAGTTCATTTTTGAAAAGAGTCCTTGCAAAGCAGAACCATCATCTTTTTATTTTTATCTGGTTATCTTTTTATTTTTATTTTTTGCCTTCTCAGTCTAGTCTAGAGGGCACTCATCAGAGGCCACTGACAGATCTGTTTGACTGGAGCTTTCGGCCTGTGTTAGTTACTTCTCTATAACTGTGACCACAGTGTCTGAGGGCCTCATGGTTTCAAGTTCAGTTCAGGGCTGTGTGGCCTCAGGTGCTTGGATAGAACATCAGGAGGGTGGGGGTGGCAATGGAGGCTCTTCACTTCATGGTGATCAGGAAGTATTGATAGGGAACAGAAGAACAGGCACAAGTGGAGTCCTGAAAGGCATCACCTCAAGGCCCTGCCTCCTCCAGCAATACTCTCCCTCCTCCAGCAAGGCCCTACCTCCTCCAAGAAGACCCTGCCTCCTTCAACAAGGCCCTGCCCCCTCCAACAAAGCCCTATACCTCCAATTTCTTACCACCCTCTAATAATGTCATCAGATTATGAATCCATTAATTTGGTTAGAAATCTCCTAATCTAATCAATACTGGAAATACCTTCCAGACATACACAAAAATTTGCTTTCCTAATCTCCTAGGTGTTTCTCAATACAAGCAGATTATAATTAAGATTATCTATCAGAGTCTCCAAAAATGTGAAGTACATAAGCTACTTTCTTTATTAAGCCTTAGGTATCTTGTAATAGCAATCTATCAGAGAATAACAACTATATTCTTGTTGTTGTGCAACAGATCTCTATAACTTGCAAAACTGAAACCTTGCACCCAGTGAACAACTTTCTTTTTTTCTTCTCTCCTAGGCTCTTGGCAACTACCATTCTATTTTCTAAGATTTTGATTCCAGCTACCTCCTCATGAATTCTCCTTCTTTATGACTGTCTTATTTCATTTAGCATTACTGATGACAATACAATGGCAACTATGAATAAGAGATTAAACTAAGATCATTATAAAAAATAAATGAAGAAAATATTCCTAGTCAAAGTTTAGCCTTGTTGGAGAAGTAAAATGGAGAACACACAAAAATAACACAATGTGAGAGTAATATTAATATGAATTCATCTTTTTGTATAAATGAAATTTAATAACTACTTTATTATAAATACGCCAGAGAGCAATGAAACAGACCATAAAAATATAATAACAGCACTGAAAGTAACCAAGCTTGAGTCCTAGCATTCTTTTATCTGCTGTTTATTTTTATTTCAGTAGCAATTTGTGAGATATTAACTAAAGAAAGAAGAATCAAGTTTATGGAATATTACAAGAGTATTATGT